GTTGCTTCATACCCATGTAACCACAGCAGGTAGAGATGGTCGCTGTGCATCTGGATATCTTCTTGCTTTTTTAGCGGAATTGGACATCCACATCCGCTGGAGGGTATCCGATGGCCACAGCGGGTATCCACGGATAGGCACAAAATCACCGGCTGGAAGGGTTTCCTTCCAGTTGGCAAGGTACATGTACCTTTCCAGCTGGAAGGGTTTCCTTCCGGTCAACAAGGTACATGTACCTTACTGACTGGAAGTGTTTCCTTCCATACGGCAAGGTACCTTACTGAACTTGTCCTAGGAAAAAAAGAACCTTATTGAAAATGGCAGCGGTGTTGTGGTGTCCAAGCTGGGTCTGTTGGTGATGAGTCAATGATCCTGTGTGTCAACAGCTTGATATTGGCCCAGTGGGACTTGACTATGTGCCAAGTCCCCCCCCCCTGAACAACCCACATGATCAAGCCCTCTGGGCACAATCCCAACCCCCGGTGGCGCTCAGCCAAGTGGAGCTTGGGCTTGTGCCCTGACACACTGTAAGACTCAAAAAGTGGTTGTAGGACCCTTTTTGCTGGATGGAGAAGGGGATGATGGAGTGTAAGCTCTGCCCTTCTATACCATCAGACAACAAGACCCACCAAGCTCAGCTTTTCAAGTTTGAATCAAGTGATAGGGTCAGTTCAGGAATGAGTTTGTGTGATGAGGAGGTTGATTTGGTTTTGGGTTGGTGCGTAAAGTCTTTGTGTAAGGGTGGTCAGATCTTGCTTGATTTTTACTTGACTGTGACTGATGAATAATACACTTCAGGAGACAACAACTGGGAGGAGAGCCTCCTTATATAGAAAACAGTGAGGGAATTTAGCTCCAGGGCAGCCAGTAATGAGTGATTTTGGCTGGCCTGGGCTATTAAATGAGGGTTTTTAGCTAAATACATAAGTTGAATGAGTGAATGTGATTGGTCAGACATGTACAAGAGTTAAGTGGGGAGCCAAACAGCTGAAAGAGTGATTCTGATTGGTCAGGTTCTGTTTTGTTTACAAGTAAATGTGATGGTGTAAGCTGCAGCTGTCATGCAAGGAAGATACACTAATTTAGACTGCATGCATGAGTTATGTAATATGTATAAATGGAAATGTAAGATGTGTAGATGTAATGTATTGTCTTGTAAGTGAGTTGTATATGTAAATGTGGGGCTTTACTGTACCGAGGGTGTCTGTGTAGCTTGAGGTTTGTAATTGTGATTGTTGACATGTACTTGATGGGTGAAATCTGTGTGATATGTTGTCCATCTTGGGGTAGGTGTTGATCTGGGTGTGTTCCATGAAATTTCAATCTAATTCATTACGTTCTGTTGCCCTAGGCAGAAGAAGCATACTGGGTACAAGTATCATTTTGCTTTGAGGAGATGATGATGCAGGTGAGACTGACCAGGGAACAGTTGATTTGAGTATCCTTCCCTTCCTCAAATTGGCTCTAAGGGTTTTTTTTCTCATGCAAATTTATTTATTGGCCCCTGAAGTGTCTTTATCCCCAGCAACACCAGTGGGAAGTGCCATAGAATACCTAATCAACCAAAGTCCCAAATTCTTTATTTTTGGGTTGAGTTGTTCATCATAATTGGTGGGTCATCTGCTGCAATTGGGCCCAATGCAAGTGGGATTTCAGGGTAAAAACAAATTATGTCAGAAACATAAAAGCTTTGCCAGAATAGCTGAAGTAGGTCTTCAGATCCCGCAATTTCTCACTGCATTGCCTTAAACACAGTTTGCTGGAGTATTTGGGGGTTTTGGACCCACTTGACATGATTGTTTTGTTGGAATACTTATAAGCTAGTATGCTTCTATCAAATCCAATATTGTATTTAGTCTATGCCAGCCCTGATACAACAACCTCGCCTCATCGAATTAAAACTACATTTTCATTCTTGTTCAGTCACTGTCACAAGATCTAGCATCTGTGACTTTTAGTTCCTTCACCTGGTCCACCTCAACATGTTTTGATACGATGACAGATGGATGGTACCTTGAAAGATACCTCTGATAATTAATAACTAGCTGGCTAGAAAAAGGCCAACCAGCTGGGTTGGTTAGTGTTGAAGTTACTTAGTATGGAAAATGATCCACAAGAGTGGACAACTTCTGTCAAGGTCTGGTCATCTCCCAGAATCAACTTAGAGCCTTGAAAGCTAAATTTTCCAGGAAAAATTTAGACTTTTTGGGTCTAAATCAGCATCTAAAAAAGTCCCAGATTTGACAGGAAGTCCTCCAGTTATTTTTTCATTTTTTTCATTTTCAGCCTTGAGAAGGTTGTAATTTGATGATCAACATGCTGTTGGATTATGAATATGCTTATATTCATTACACAATATGATTCAGTCAAAACTCAAGCAATCATGTATATAATCTATACTAGATGGCTACAGTAGTTTTCCCTCAGTGAATCAAAACCTTCCTTCTTCTCACTCACAAAGTGTCACTGGCCTGTCAGCCGTGAACTTTGGTTTTTCATCTTGAGTCCCTCTCAACACATGCAGCATTGCACTAGTCTACAACTAAATTTGTCTGAAACTCCTTGCAGAAGGTAGCTAATTGGGAAGTTATTTCCTCAGGAAACAAATCATTCTTACAAGCCATTAAGAGCAACATCATGCATAGGTGGAAGCAGGTGGACATATGCCAAATGAAGTTTGTTTGCTGGTGCACACTGTTCACTAGATCTGATGGTGGAATTTGCCTTCTGGTGGGGAGCTTCCTACCAAACTTTAAAACTTTTTTATAAATCATCAAAGTTATAACATGGAATGTCAGAGCAACTCCACCGCGGCCCCTATTTTTGGGCCACTAAATTTTGATTGTTGGGACTGCGAAGCCAACTTTACAGCCTCAAAGTGCTGCGGCATACACCGCAAGAGTCTTTAACAATGTGTGAAAGGATGAGTGGTGTGTGAAGTTGGAGCCGATTCGTATTGAGGTAGTAGAGTTTCACAAGTAGTTGTTATGTGAAAGGGGATTGGGAGGTCGATAGAGGAGTCGCTACGAGTCCCTACATGTAGGGACTCGGGCACAAAATTTAGGGGCGGCCGTAGATTTGAGACTCAAACAGCGGCCGCGGTGGCTCATGTTGGGTCGGTAAATTCCAACTAGGGACCCGATTTAGCGCCCGCGGTGGAGTTGCTCTCATAAAACACATAAATACATCATGCCCCTCTTTGTCACAAGATCATCAAATGTGTGAGGGAGAGATCCCTAATTTTCAAAAGTGCATTCACTGAGTCACTCTTCAAGTAGGAGGAAGAGCTTATAAATATGCCCACTAATGGTGAAAGGTTATGTATTGCCAATGATTGGACTGTACAATGTCATTGCCCCATAACTTAGAAGAGTGAACAACCCTGACTTTTTTGTGTTTCTCCTTGCCAGAGGTGTTGTTGAGGTTCCCCCGCAATGCAAATTAGCACTTGACTTGTCAGAAAAGGCAAGAAAGCATTCTAAATAACTTTGATGAGTAGCTTGTGAAATAACTCTGATAGCGTTCCAGACTGTCACCGCGGCATATCATTGACTAGGAGACGATGGTGGGAGGACTGCCTTCACTAAAGCAGTGTTGAAGTCGGACACAAGCGCGACCCGCCCATGATACATTCTCCGCCCGCTTCTTGAATCGGTGCCCCTTCAAAAGGTGATATATCTTCTATTGACTCGTGAGGCTTGGCTCCGGCCCGGCTTGCGCCGTTAAGTTGTGATGGTCCACATCATATGATGAGATGAACGCATTCAAATACAAAAATATGTAAAGTTTTGAACACTGGTCGGCGAGGTGGTCATTCTCCCAAGGGCCACTGGAATGGCGCCAACAGCTGCATGATATGGTGCAAACGACTGCAGAACCACAGGTTCCACCGTAGTCGCTCAAACACAACCTCGGTTCCTAAGCATCAAACGACCTAGCGCAAAATATTCTTGAGGTAACTTATAAAAGACTAGTCTGATCCATGCGATTATGTCACTTCTACTCTAGGGATACAAGTGTATCAGTTCCTTATTCTATGGTTTGATTGAGATGGATCGGTTTGCATTCCTTTCCTCGGGTTGCTTTGGTCAAGGCTCCCACACCAAAGCTCGATTCCGGCCATTATCTAATTGCTGAAAAAAAAAGCCCAAAGACAAGGTTGTATAAGCTTTGCACAAAACAAGCAGGTGGCGAGGCTCCAAGATTTGGACCGGCCTCTATCAAGGGCAATTAAGAAATTTGGATTTGATACAAATCACGCACAATTGATCCTCGCGACGCGGCGAGACACCTCCAGGTGATTATTACATAATTCCTGGGCCAGCGTCGACCGACGACCACAAGAAATCAGCCTTCATGGAAGGCATAAAGGCTATCAGCTTCCGGAGTGTGTCGGCGGCTCATTGGCACAGCAGAATCTTCCCCCTCATAGTTATCATCGCATTAGTGACTTGTGTACTCTGTATATCAATCTGTTAGCATCTGTTCCATTGTCAATCACCCGATACACATCAAGAGTAAGATCCTCTTAGACCGACCCCTAGCTCCATATTTCCTTACGTTTAGTACTCCGTTTCTTAAGTCTGTAGCAAAGTCGTAGATAGCCGGTCATCGTCAAGTGCTGTAGATATCACACATCTACTACTTCCCCGTCGCTTCTCTCAAGGGCCAACAACGTCACACTCTAAGAGTGTTTGTTGAAGTCGCTCCGGAGAAACGTAGATTGACGCCCGGCAACGCGCAACTCGGTTCAATCTATCATCCCCCGGCTTGATTCTTGTTTTATTTCACCAGAGGTCGCTGCTCTACAGCCACCAGGTTATCATACAAAACGCAGGCGTCTGGACGGCCGCGTTTGGTGTAGCGCATTGTGCTCAAAGGCATCCCAGCTTTTTCACCCCTCCCATCCGTATCCACCCAGCTTTAACCCATCGCATCCGCCTTCTAGCTTGGTTAGAAGCTTGTCAGTCTTTGGGTGGGACACTGTATACCTTGACCGCATGGATTACCTGCTTTCTCAACCGCCCCTGCTCGAGTGTTACTCCGAGGATGCTCAGAATCAGGGACAGTTTGACTGGAGCTTATTAGGCACTGGTCCTACCCTGAACAATACGGATGCACCTGGGACCCTCTCTGATAACGGTCTCGATCCAATCTTCACACCTGAACAACTTGCGACTTTGCTGCAGACATGCGATTCCCCTTACCCTACGGACTCGTTCCCCCAAGACTTTTCGACCGAGTGCCTGAACCAGCCGGAATGGAATCTACAGCCTTTTCCTGATTTCACTTTTCAATCTCTCGACTTCAATAATCCTTTCATTCCGGCCTCTCAGCCCCCGATGGTCACTGACTCGACCACTTATCGCGACGGCTTCGGAAATCCTATCAAACCAGTAGACCATCAGCCTACATACGATTCCTCCGCCGGCTTTGAAACCTACTCTTCCCCTCCCGCCATGCCAAGCAGTAGCTACAGCCCTTCCGACACTCATCCCGGATATGCATACCCCCCTCCACAACCGCCCCCAGTAGTGGAAAGAACAAATCATTGGGATCTTCTCGCTGGCTCAAACTACTCGCCTTCTAAAACCCAGCTCGGAGTGACGTGACCAGCCCTAGTGCAGCATCTGAACAACCAGTGAAGAAGCATCGGTATGTTATCCTTTTCTTTGAACTGCACAGGGGGCTGCTATTCTGACACCGAACTGTTTTCTTACCGTAGTTGCCAGATCTGTGGAAGAGCCTTTCAACGTCAAACTGTTGAGTACCCGCTCTAATTCTCTGTAGTTACTGGCCTCTTAAGCCAACCTGCCCAGTGACTCATGAATATCATTCGTTGACTGTGAATTTTGTGTACTTCCACCATACGGTGGCGCCAATTCCCTTCCATTTAGACTTTAACACAACATCAAAGTACGTTGTTGACTTTCTCTCGCTTGTGAAGACCGCGCCACAGCCACACTGACGCCAAATCCCTTTCCTATTAACAGTCACTCACACTGGAGAAAGGCCTTACTCGTGCCCTGTGGTAAGCTTAACATCATTCTGCAATTTATATCCAGTTGGTTTCCAAGTACAATCCTCTTACGCGAAATCGTGCTTGGCTCTTTTCAGGCTGGATGTGGCAAAGCTTTTACCACTGCATCCAATGCCAAACGACACGCGAAGACTCATTTTAGAATCTCGCATGGCTTTCATTCGTCCCCTGGGCCATACTGAAGTCACTCCCCCTTACAGCGTCTTGATTATCGGTTACCGTATAGATAAAATCAGCCAAAAAAAAAGAGAAAGAAACGGCACTCCCAAACAGACTTATGACAACTGGTCAAAATTTGTATCACGATTATTAACGCCTCGCATTCCTCGCAAATATTTTCCTCCACATATCTATGATGTAACTTTCATTTAATTTTTATCTTGAGCGCTCACCATTACTAGGCTCTCTAGTATTCACTGTATAGCAAATGTCTCCATCCTCTTCAATGAATAGCAGTATATATCCCTTCCTTCTCTCTCTCCATCTTATCCTCTTCCTTTACTCATCATGTTTGAGTGGAAACGTCAACCTTGTAGAATTGTACCTTCTTGCTAGCGTATCCTTGACTATCGGCCCCCCAAAAAATTTATTCATCTGGATACCTCGAGTGATCTGTGCACATCAATGTAGTTTCCTCTAACTTATTTCTAGTGTCTTGCTGAAGAATCAATGTAAATTTCATCATAGAGTTAACTCGCTTAAATTTACACGCATCATTACTCATTCTTCAAGCTTTTCAAGAAGAGGTTGTTGCTTGGAGTCGCGTCCCAGTGTCCTTTTCCGTTCGAACTTCATTTACCACTATGCGGAAACATACTCAAGAACCCTATTCCATCCCACAGTTTTCTCTCTGAATCGTGTATACACATATCCCTCCAGATGATTGACCACCTGTGGGCACCCCTATACCCCATACTATACAGTAACCCAGGCCCCGATCTAAGACGGTGCAAAGGGCCTTCTCCGCGCCAAAAATAAAAACCCCGGGATCCCCAGGAATCGTAAAAACCCTGGGATTCGGGACCCCCAAAACCTTGGACCCCATCACCAAAATCGTACAAGTCCCGCACTCCACCCATGCCCCTAGGGCACCAGCTCTCCCCCTGCTACTTCCACCCCCGCTCGGCCATATCCACCCACTCGACCCAAAATCACACCCCCGACGGGCTCATCACACCCGGCCATAACACCGGCCGGTCATAACACCGGATCAATATCATCGGCAACCCCTCAGTTGCTCTCATCTCGGTCTACGTCTCTCTCGCCAGGCTCACTCTCCACTCCTCGGTCATCACCTTCTCTCGGCTCGAACGCTTCATCCTTGCTTGGCTCGAACGCTGCGGACATCTCCACCCCTCCCTCCTCGGCTCGAACGCTTCATCTTCCCTCGGCGCTTCATCTTCGCTCAGCGCTTCATCTTTGCTCGGCGCTTCATCTTTGCTCGGCTCAAACACTGCGGACTTCTCTACTCCTCCCTTGCTCATCGTCTTTGCTTAACTCGAACGCTGTCGGATTTCTCTACTCTTCAGTCATTCTCTCTTCATCGTCGCTCGGCTCGAACACTGCCGGAAATCTCTACTCCTCCCTCGCTCATTGTCCTCGCTTGACTCGAACGCTGCCGGACATTCTCTCCACAACGCACACATCGTACTCACAAAATCCGACTTCATTCAACAACATTGTACCAAACTCATGCGGACCACAAGATTCACTGTCCGAACCGCGGATCGTAGTCAGATTTTACGAAGACAGGTTCATGCTGCAAGAATTGCCGAAACTTTAGCAAGGATCCGGCGCCAAGAACAATTGGACCGTCAACGTGAACAACTCGCTAGACCTCCTGCCTTCCAAAATGTTCTAGACGAGCCTGATACCAATTTCGAGGATCAACCCGATGAAGGTGAACATAACCAAGAAGATGAAACTGAAGAAAATTGTGTTTGGGTAGACTTGCTAGAAGACCAACCCGATGAGATTGATATTGCCATTGCAGCTGATAGAGAAAGGCATCGTCAGCAAGCTCGTGAATTCAACTGGGCAGTACTTCTTCACCACCTTCACGCAACTTACATGAAGTTGAAAGCAATCACAAAGGACTGGACCGGTTCAAACTCATACAACAGTTTCACCAGCTGCTCTGCGACATGCTCTCGGGAGTTTCATCGAACAGTTGATTTAGTAGACATACAAGGTGAGCCAAAACAACTTACACCAATCCATTCTCCAATTCACCATTGATCATTATTCACCTCTGTTGACCTTCTCAGGCCAAAGACGAAAAACTATTAGGTTCTGTGAATGTACACTCGATGGTGTCCGACTTCTTCAGCTTGGCTACATTGCAGGATCGCCGGTCCGACCACAAACCGCATTTTCTCTTCCCCTACTAATCTTCCACAACAATCTATGGAATAACTGCCATGTAGGCACACTCCCCTTTACGGTGGCCCTGAATTCTTGGCTTGAGCCTCGCTCTCAACGCTTGCGCGCTCGCCAAGGAAAACATGTGAGTATTCCATCTCTTTTCTCACAAAATGTTAAACACTGCACATCACATTAAAATTTTCCTATTCTAAATTCAAAAAGGCTCGGCAACTTCGCAAACCTTTCACAGCAGCGGTTGACTTGTTCCGCCAACTTGAAGAAAAGACAGCAGAGGTAGTCTTTTCATCACTGCAACTGACTAAGCAAGAAATTCTAGCCTGTACATCATGCCCTGCATGCTTTGGACCACAACCCCCCAACCCATTTGATTACCCAGAAACAACCCGTAACCGCCTCATTGTCTGCCTGGACGGGAATTTCCAGCACCGTCACCAAACCAACGCAAGCCGCAACTATGAACAACTTCGAACACCTCGAGTTTTTCTAAAGCAAAGCGAAGTTGACAAAGTTTCTCAATCCATACGCGCAAGAGAAGCAGAAGGGATGACTCCTAAGCAGGTAGGTTGTGTTATTTCTTCCTTCTTTCATCCAAATCAAAGAATAATCACCATTAACGCAAAAAATAAATAGACCGATCGATGTGCAGACTCCCACAAGGCCGCTGATGATAAACGAAATGAATCAACATGGAAAGGGTGCGATGATACTGGTCTAATGGGTTGCTGTTGCCGCCATGATGCTGTTGTATATCTTGCCAACATATACAAATCAGGTGAGCAAAGGCACTTTCCCATGGCTATCATAGAGGCCCTCCTCTCAGCAGTCGAATCAAACCGCAAAGTGGGGATCTTGTACGACATTGGATGCAGTTTAGACAAGTACATTAACTTGGTATGTTTCCTTCCCACTGTGCGCAATCACAACTCTTTCATGTTACATAATGACTAAGTGATTGCATTTTTGGTGCATATTCTCCATTTAACAGAGAGGTCTTGTACCACAATATTGAGATCGAATAAAATTTGGGACCTCAGTGTTCCACGCCTATGTTCATAACTGGCTCTGCCAGTTGGATTACCATCCTAGGTTTAACCAAGGTTGGGGACTGTCTGATGGGGAGGGTCTAGAGCGAATGTGGTCCTATCTCTCTCCTTTGGTGAGCCCCCTGCGATATGCGACTCGAAACCATCGCCTTGCAGCAATATCACACCGTTTGAAACACCACAATCATCGGTCAATTCAGCAACTTCGTAAGTCATGATGTGTTACCTACTCATTCCCCTGTTTAAACCATCCCTAACTGGATTTCATCTTAGCATATTGGTTACAAAGGAAGTTCTGCCAAGCTGTCCGACGCCGCCGAGAGAACCAAAACTTGCTAGACCAACTGCTTAATAAGAGAAATTGCCATCGGCAAGGAGGCGGAAACTTCACGATTGGCTTCTTCAAGAGACAGTGGGCTGCTCAAAGGGAATTTCAATCCAACCACACAACAGAAGAGGATACCCGCCGTTCAAAGCTCTTGTCAATATACAAGCGAGAAGCAAGTATAAATCTCATGAGGTAAAGTCACTATCACACATGAGATCATGACTGCATTGCTATTGACTAAGTTTTGGCCATGTTTTTGCAGGACACGCCTCCGAAACCCTCGGGACCTTTTAGAAGATCCAGGAGAAATTCAAGAACTTATGGACTCCATTGTGGAGGAAGCCAATCTGCTGCGTCAAGAAAAGGAAGAAATGGGAGTGGCAAACATGCCTGAGACTACTGGTAAGTGGTAATTTTGTTGTTGGTCAGTCTAGAGGCATGATTCAATCATGTTGAGTACATGTATTATTTTGTAGACACTGAGGAGCAGAAGCTCAGGCTCCTTCTCTGGGATGCAAAGTCGGCCCTTTTTGTCCAGGCCGTTCATATCAACGCTGAGCGCCAGCCTTTGATCAATTCTCATACAATGGGATCGCGGCTGGGTACTCGTGGAAAGGAGAAGATTGTGAAGGCTTCGCAAGCACGCCGGCCAGCGGTCCAGAAACTCATTGATGCTTATAATCAACAATTCCGGCAGTTCAAAGCAAAATACCCGAATCAACAACTATCCGATGAAGATGATCACCCTGTGACCTACGATGAGTTTTCAACTTGGCCAATGGACCACAGATTTTGGAACGATGGTCTTTATTATCATTCGAGTGAACCCTGGTCCATTGATCCAGATGTCAAAACAGGTATCAATTGTGTTCTAATGCTCAGTCGCACCCAAGAAGAGTTTGAGCTTATTGCCCAGGAATTGGCTCGAGCTACTGGATGGGCCATTGACCACTACAAGCTAATCAAGAATAAACTGCTCTACATCGAAATCCGTGAGTTTCTTCTCCCATTGACTTGAAATATATTTTTTGGTTGACAAAGGAAATGATTTTGAATCATTTGACAGGAATGGTTCTGTTACAGGGGGATGCCAATGGTGCCCTTGATCATATAGACAGTCTGTCATTAGGTGAATGCAGCCGATTAGACAAACTGCAGCTGGTTGAGAACGAATTGCAAGCACGACTCAGGCTCCATAGTCAGTTGATACAAGATTGGTCTGACAACGTAACTTGGCTTTGGCGGCGCTGCCAACCATTCAGCAATCGAGGTTCAATCGGGGAGTGGAACAATCTAGTTGAACAACTAAGCCGGTCTGATATTGAGTCTGAAAACCTTGGTACATCTTCAAGCACAATTGATGATGAGTTAGAAGATTTGATGTTAGATGAGAATGTAGATGATGGAGAAGATGTAGAGGAGAGATTAATATCAAATACTGAAGTAGTTTGACAATGAATTGTGAACATAAAGTTAGTATGTTATTTATCAGATTTAAAGTTGAGGTCTGGTGTTTTTAATTGTGAACATAAATTTAGTATTTTTTTTATCAGAGTTATAGTTGAGGTCTGGTGTTTTTAATCTATAAAGTTCAATGTTCCAAGTATTAGAATCAGTTTTCAATCAGCAGTACTGAACCACTACAACTCCAGAGTTACAAATCATGATATATGATTTGATATTTAGGGAATAATCATTGCTGACCCCAAATTTGTGATTGGTCAGTGTTACAGTACTTGCTGCAAATCAGGATGACCAAGGACAACTTGGGAGTGAGCAATGATGTTTGAGTTGTTTTAAAAATTGGAGAAGTTGGTTGTACTGTAAATAAAATTTATCTAACATTCAGGCAATTATCATTGCCCACGGCCAAGTTTTTAAACTCATTCAATCTTTGAATCCACTCAATCATCTTTACTCACTCGAAGGTTGTGATGGTTCAGTGTGACAGTACTTGTGTGTACAACTAGGGAGTGAGCAATGACAATTGGATGGTTTCAAAGATTGGATGAGTTTGTTTTACTGTAAATGAAATTTACCCAACATTTGAAATCAGTCAATCATCATTGCCCACTTCCAAGTTGTACTTGGTCATCATGATTTGGCACAAAGTACTGTCACACTGATCACAACTTGGGAGTGAGAAATTATGATTGAATGGTTTCAAAGTTTTAGATAAGTTTTAGGAAGTGTAAATGAAATTTATCCAAACTTTGAAACCAGTCAATCATCATTGCTCACTCTCAAGTTGTCCTTGGTCATCCTGATTTGCCACAAGTACTGTAACACTGACCCATCACAACTTGGGAGTGAGCAATGATGGTTGACTGGTTTCAAAGTTTGGATAAGTTTTTGGATCTATAGATGTAGTCATAAAAAGCTTCATTTCTAGTAACCAGCAATTTCATCAAATATAATCACAAGAAACATCAACATGTTGTCATACAAAAATAAGTTGGTTGGTTGGTCATAAGCCATCCTGATTTGCCACAAGATAATTGACTGGGTTCAAAGGCTGAATGAGTTTTCTTTACACTTTAAAAAACTTATCCAAGCTGTGACTTTAAAAAACTTATCCAAGCTGTGAAACCACTCAATCATCATTACCCACTCCCGGGTTGTACTTGTTTATCCTGATTTGGCACTAGTACTTTCACACTGACCCCGCACAACTTGTTATTCACAATACAAAAACTTATCCAAGATTTGAAATCACTCAATCACTTTTCCTAGGCCTATCTAATTTTGTGAAATTATTGTGACCCTGTGCAACTTTGGGGTGAGTAATGACAATTGAGGTTTGTCCAAAGGTTACTTTTTATAGCATAGACAAAACTTAATCAAAGTTTGAATCCACTCAATCATCACTGATCACTGACCTGAACTAGTACCCCTTTGGCGTCACCAATTTCCACTTTGGAGTGAGCCATGATGGTTGTTTGAGTCCATGCAAATCATGAAAACCCCTTGGGCTTTCTGATTCCTTGCCTAATTTTGTGGATCAAAATGTTTTTGTCAATGTTATGACTGCTTGACTGCTGAGCTGCAGGTGAAACAAAAAAACCGACATGTCCACCTTCAGGCATGTGTGTGGTTTAACCACAAGTGAGCCCAAATGTCTTGGATGGGCTGACAAATTTGAATAAGCCCCCTGCAGTCACTTATTCCCACGTGTCAGCCCATCCATCCATCGGATAGGTGTTCCACCAGGTTCCACCAGTGTTCCTTTCCTCCGACTCCCAGAGCCACCTCTTCACCTGACCATCAAATAGCTTAGCCTTAAAAATAGCAAACTCCAAGACCACCAAACTGTTTCATCATTTTCAACTCAAATTCTCCAACAATGTCAACTCCCAACTCACACCCCACCGAGCAAAGTCACTGTGAGTAGTCAGCCCTGCCCGTCCATGAAGCAAGCTGTGACCAAGCTTTGAACACTGACTCCATCTCCTCCTCAGATGTGGCAGACTTAACACCTCATCCTCATTCCACCGGACAGGAAATTTTCCCTGTTGGGATGTCCCCGCATGAATTCCCACAGGGTCATCCCCTCCATATTCCTCTAGGCCAATCTCCGACTTGTGCAGCAAATCAGAAACCATCCACCGGCCATACGGCTTCCCAAACACCCGCTACTGCACAATTTCGGCCTGTTTTGTACACTCCATCGCCACTCGGAAATGGCACCGCTAATCAATCTGAATGTGACCCACAACTCGCCCCTTCCAAATCCAACCAACCCTTCTCTAGCGGCTATGTTGCTCCATCCTCGACTGGTAGTTTGACTCCGATGATGTCTTTTGAGCCAGGTGCAACTCCAGCCGAGCCTGCTAAGAAGCCCAGGAAGAAGAGGGCACCTCGTAAGAAAGCCCCAACCCAGCCCCTCGAAAACGCTCCTCCTCCGGAAACTGTCCCAAGCATCACTCATCCAAAGGAAACCATCATCGATCCCACTGACCCTACACAGCGACCCAAACGACATCGTGTTGATGCTGAAACACTTGATAAAATCTGCGGAGAGCCACTGGACCAACTTCGGGCTCGGGCGGTCAAGTACGCCGAGTATGAGCGCCTGACTGCTGAAGACAAGCTTGCACTTGATGAAGCTTATCGTGAGTATCAGACGCAGGTCCACCTAATTGCTATTGAGCGCAAACTACACCCTAAACCAGTCTTGCAGTATCTTGGTAACGAGGTTCGAATTCGTGGCCCATCCAATTTCAATAATTTCTGTGTTTACGACCAGGTTGCCGGTCCGATTTACCATGACAGTAAGCTAGAACAACATTGACAAAGATACATATGTATGCCATCCTGACATGCAAACCTTTTGATATCACAGAAACGATGTCCATTTCTGATCGGATGAGCGAGTGTGCCCGCCTGTGGCACCTCCTGGACAAGACTACCCAAAACCAGTGGAGGGACCAGGACTTTCTAGACTCCATTTCTCCTCCTGACAATATCGCTCCACCAGCACAAGACGGTGCTGAAGCTGTTGCTCAATGGAAGAAACGCGATAAGTTTAAGTTGACATTATGGATACGCAAGATCAAAAGAGATGTAAGTTATTCTCTCAAATCGGGTTGTCTCATTACACACCCGGTACTGATTGTCTCCGTTGTGTGGGCTTTTGAAGCTCAAAAATCTAAGTGTTTCGCACCAGGTCGAAGGATTCTTTGTTTTAGCTTCGCGTGATCCTGACTCCCCTATCATCAAGACGGGAGGCAGTCTCATGGCCGAGGAGTTTCTGGATCTCATGGCTGCCAATACAAATCCTTGTAGCTTGTTCTACAGATTTGTGAATGGACAACAAGCCATCAAGGACATCTCTGGATCGTACCCTAAACCAAACAATAAAAGGAAACGTCGAAGCGGTAAAGACGATGGTGAAAACTGCCCCCATGATCTTGGTTAGTTAATGAACGCTTTATTCTTTCTGCATGGCTGTGAAGCTAATCTGATTCAATCTACTTTGATAGGTAGCAAGAAAGCGAACATTGAGGCTGTCCGGGAGAAGCTCAAGGGGGCACTTCGTAAGTGCCACTGCTTTTGGAGTGACACTCTGATTACTGATACTAGTGATTGATTGGTGGATAGGCCAAGCTACACACGGTGTCTGGCAGGGTGGATGGCCAGGGACCAAGACCGAGAGTACCCTGGCCAGTCTAGGAGTGACATTGCAGGTCCAACAGAATGACAAATGTGTGCTTCCGAACGACTTCTGCGCACGTCCCTCAGACATGCGGAACGCACAAGCTCAATGCATCCTGACGGCGTTTGCGGAAGGGTGGGTGCGACTGCTCGGTCCCCCTCCGCCTGAGGTTGGCGTTGGCATGATAGGCCACGAAATCGATGACGACGACTCTGATGCCAGCCCAACTCGAGTTACGATCACGGCTGCTAAGCGGCCCAAAGTTACTAAGAAGCAGCAAGCTAAGAAAAGAGCTTCGGCTGCTGGTGATGAAACTCGACCAACACCTGAGCCCGAGCCCATCAAGCAGAAGCGTGCTGTTGCTGAAAAAAAATCACTTTCAACACAGTCAGTTGGGATCATCAGGCAACCCAGATCGGTCACTCCTCCGGATTCTCAATCACCAACTCCCAGCATCGATAGGTTGGCAAATAGCGAGGACGAAACCGATGTGTCTGAATTTGTGCCACGTAAACGCGGGCGCATCCTCATAGAAAGTGATGAAGATTCGGACGATTGGTGATCTGACTTGACCCTACTTCCTTTGATAACTCACTCACTCTACCAGTTTCTTCTGTTCTGCTCCTATCTCTTTTTTTCGGCAATGTATGCCAGAAACTACTTCTTTTTACTTGCTCTACACTCATTTTTTTCTTATTCAAAAATCACTTCCTAGCCCTGCTCCATTTTCCTGTATGCCGATATTTTTTCATTCTATATTGACTGGCTTCTACTGTTGTGCCTGAAAGTAATCGTACCTTATTGCTGTGTCCGAAATAGTAAAAGTCTCTCATTTCTATGTCTAACATTAATGGGGACTCCACTGCTACATCGCAAAGAGACACAAAAAAAATAACACAAATGGCAAGATTACTTTGCAACTCGCCTTGTTCTGACAAAACATAAACATTGCAATCACGCCAAGTCTTCTTTGCATCAACAAATTGGCCGATCTCAACTCCTGCAACCATGCACTATACTTCGAGCCTCAAAGACACTGTGATCTCTACTTATGGGCCTCCCGATGTCTTAATGGCCCTTCGATCTGCTTCCATGTCGTCAACATTCACACGATGGACGAAGTGGAAAGGACAGGTTAATAACTCAATCGATCCGTTTAGCCCATCTTATTAATTGAGATCTTTCATTATATAGGAAACTGTCTAAAAGGATCTCGTCCGATCATCACTTTTGGCAAAGAATTCGAGGACGAAGTGCACTGGAAGGTCTGCAAAGAAGTCCTAACAAATGTACATCGATAATTCTTTTGGTTTTTGGACTCAAAGAAAAAAAGACAAGTAAAAAAAATGTTTATTTGTGTCTCTAAAATCCTAGGTATTTGCGGCGCCGAAGACGGCCTGGAAAGCTAAGCGTTTCATCTGGTCGCTTGTGGAAGCGTCTTCATCGCTGGATGGGGATGGATCACTACGGTGATATAGAGCATCAAAGCTTGCCGATCACATTCCTGCGATACTCTTGATAGAGGGGCAAGTTAGGGCCAGGTGTCCATTCGCTCATTCGTTCCATGGCATCCTTTGGTACGGCCGGCAGAATCCTCTCGTCCAACAAATTGTGCTAGATCCCTATGTGTACATAAACACACATATTATTATTAAATCGAAGTAATTATTAGTGTTTCTCCTAACCTCTGACTGTATAAAGAGGGGGAAAGTATCGAATTACCGATAAGGCCAAACAATCTGATGGAAATCCAAGTCTTTGGTTAGATAAAACTCCATTTCTGCTAGCACCGTTGCATCATTAGGAAACGGGCCTAGAGCGCGATAATCTTTTAAAAAATTGCAAGCAATTAGGACTGGTTTCAGAGATAGTTGGAGGATCAATTGACGTACCATCAGAATCGGTGGGGGATGGCTCAAAAATGAGCCTGGTTGAGTGAGTGGGTAGCTGAGGCAGGGTGAGTGTGTGACGGGGTGAGAAGCCGGGGGTGCTTGTCATGGATGGTGAGTGAGAGAATACAGATTGCAATTTTCGAATGAGTGAAGAGTAGCGATGTCCGGCAGCGTTCGAGCCAAGCGAAGAAGGATGATGAGCAAGGGAGGGGGCAGCGTTCGAGCCAAGCAAGGATGAAGCGTTCGAGCCGAGAGAAGGTGATGACCGAGGAGTGGAGAGTGAGCCTGGCGAGAGAGACGTAGACCGAGATGAGAGCAACTGAGGGGTTGCCGATGATATTGATCCGGTGTTATGACCGGCCGGTGTTATGGCCGGGTGTGATGAGCCCGTCGGGGGTGTGATTTTGGGTCGAGTGGGTGGATATGGCCGAGCGGGGGTGGAAGTAGCAGGGGGAGAGCTGGTGCCCTAGGGGCATGGGTGGAGTGCGGGACTTGTACTATTTTGGTGATGGGGTCCAAGGTTTTGGGGGTCCCGGATCCCAGGGTTTTTACGATTCCTGGGGATCCCGGGGTTTTTATTTTTGGCGCGGAGAAGGCCCTTTGCACCGTCTTAGATCGGGGCCTGGGTTACTGTATAGTATGGGGTATAGGGGTGCCCACAGGTGTGATTGACCCGCCAAGATGGGAATGCATTCAAGAGTTGAGAGAAAATGTCAAAGAATTAACTTTTATGAGCCACCAAAGATTCACTAGGGTCAGTATCCACAGCTGGGTTCCTTTCTGGCTGTGCATGCTCGATTTTGCTGGGAGTGGGGCTTATGTAATCAAATGTCTGCTGACGTAATCGATCGCTGTGAGCCAGACGGTGTCATCGCCCCTCGATTTCACTCATCCTTCCTCCTCTTGACCATCCCCCACTATCATCATCATCCCACATTCACCTCCCAGATAGCTTCAACATGGCACCCACAGGTAAGCAAGGATACCCATGGAAATACGATTCCTCCAAAAACTGTCCATCGTATTAACTCTGGTCAATTTGGTTTTGTTTCGTAGCACTCCAGCTGAGCTCTGAGGAAAGATTAGCTTATCCCTATCTGTTCTCAAAAGCTGATACAGATCAAATAGGAGTTCTTGTCGGCGAGAAAGCCGTAGCATTTGTGAATACCTGATTTCAATCCTATCCACCTGTTGCTTTTTAAACTCACTCCTGCTTTCCAACGTGATGCCGTAACTGTCCTCATCTGACGCTTACTCTTTCTTGTGGACGTTCCAGTTTGCCCATTCTAACCTACCTCCTACGATCCTCGGCGAGATATGGCAACTGGCCGATCAAGATAACGCTGGATTCCTAACTCGTCAACAGTTCGATATTGCCCTGAGGTTGATCGGCAAAGCTCAAAGGGGTTTACCAGTCAACGAGCAAGCAATCTCCTCACCTGGTCCACTATGTGTTCTCAAAGGTTTCTCCGTCCCGGGACTCCCTAGCCCTTCAACCCCTCCTGCACCTCGCCCTCCGAATAGCACCCCACTTGGAATCTCGGAACCTGTGCAGGATCCGTTATATACGATTGGTAACGAGGACAAGTTGAAGTATAGCTCCATGTTCATCAAGGCCGGCCCCAGAGACGGCTTACTGGATGGTGACAAGGCTCGCGATATTTTCATCCGAAGTAAGCTGTCATTCGAGAAGCTAGGACAAATTTGGTAAGACCTTCCTCTAACTCCCTCTTCCTCCCACCAGAGGTACCGGCCTTCTTTGAATCCGTCACTCATGACCCATCGCAATCTTCTTGTGTCTCACATTTCTCTCATTCAGGACCTTAGCAGATACTCAATCGCGTGGCGCATTATCAGTTAGCGATTTTTGCATTGCGATGCACCTCATTCAACTTTCCATGTCTGGGCGTCTGTCAACGTTTCCAACCAGCCTCCCATCTGCACTACTAGACTCCGCTACTGCACCCGTTGCGGGTGCAGTCCTACCGATTTCTCGTCAAGTCACCGGCCAACAACAATCAATCCCGGGTTCTCTTCCACCCTCCAGTCCACTCAGAAAATCATCAACTGGAAGTGCGATTAGGCCTCAGTACACTGGGCGATCGGCTTCCGGTGTCCCTTCATCCTTACCAACTGGAATCAATAGTATCATAGGCTCCCCAACTGGGTTAGCCTGGGACATCTCTTCTGCTGAATTAGCTCAGAGTAATATCTATTTTGATTCTCTAGATACCAATCGTCTAGGCTATATTACTGGTGATCGTGCAGTCCCATTTATGATGGAGAGTAAACTTCCAGGTGAAATATTGGCTCGTATTTGGGACCTTGCCGATATCAGGGGTGAAGGGAAATTGAACAGGGAGGAATTTGCTGTGGCGATGCGCCTAATCCAAGATACTTTGGCTGGTGGGGTCGAGAGTCTTACCGCAAAACTTTCGCCGGGGATGGTCCCGCCTTCGCTGAGAGAGCCCGCTGGCTTACCGGCCATTCCAGGTGAGTTTCGCCGGGATCAATCTTTGAACCTTTTTCATAATTTGGTGTTCAAATTTATTCAAGATTACGTCAATCCAGAAACCTCAACGACCCAACAGGATCTATTATCTTTGCTTGATGACCCACCGAATGTCACTCAGCCATCGCAAAACGATGCCAACAAGCCAAAGCACTCTGCCCCACCAAATCAGCAACCTTCTTTACCCGTTCAACTCACGGGTACCCACTCGATGACTCCCGCTGCCAGAGTTGCTTCACCTTTGTCCTCATCTCAAGGTTACATTGGAGCTCAAACAACAGGGCAATGTAAGATGCATATTTTACCTGGACATGCCCTCTCTGTTGATACTTTGTAAAACCTGACGCTTTCGCTCGACTTGGTCTCATTCTGGCACGTACAGTTGGTCAATCAAGCTCTTCTCGGGGCTTGGGAGAGGATGACGGTGCCAAATTAGGAAATCTTGTGAATCAGTTGTCTTCAACTGAGAATGCGTTGTCCACTTTACATGATGAAAGATCTCGGCTTGAAAGGCATACTAGAAGCACGGTCGAACAAATTAAGACTCTCGAACTGAAATTATCCACCGCGCGACAGATGCATCAAAACGAGTTACCTCTAGTTGAGGAGCTGAGAAGAAAACAAGTCGAGCAGCGATCGACTATGAGTAAGCTGACAAGTGATGTCATTACTGCCGAATCAGAACTTTCGAGCTTGAAATTAGAGAAAGAGCAAATTGAGGGCAGCATACTTAGGGACAAGGAAGAAATTCGTGACATGAAGAAGCGGATGGCACAACTCGAGGAGGAAACGCAACGACTCAAATCGAGCTTGGAGACATTGAAGAAAGATTCAAGACTACAAAAAGGTCTGATAGCCATCGGCAAGAAGCAAGTGTTGACAGTTGAAGGCCAGAAAGCCGATATTTCCAAGGAAATGGATGACTTGACTCAACAAATCCATTCTATCGCTTTGCCTCCTGAAGGTTCCCGAGCGCCTAGTCCAGGCGTCCCTCCACAGTCGGTTCCTTCGCAGAAAAGCACCAACCCTTTTGAACGGATGATGCCAGCAGCGTCTCTCACACCCCAAGCTTCGGCTATTCATTCACCTGAGGCATCTGGTTCACGTGACTTGAATCAATCTCCACATAGTTCTGCCACTCGGCTTGGAGTTAGTACGGACCCGTTTTTGGGAGGTTCGGATGGTCCTGCGCAGTTTCTTACCGCTTTATCTCCCAACACACTTAGCTTTGGGGATGCCTTTGGCCTTGACGAGTCCAAAACAGAAGATAATCGCTCGCCGGCTGATCATGGGGGATTCCATGATGCGCGTGAAACGACCTCTCCCGATCCTCCACCTTCTGCTAAATTCTCCCCTCCAATAGCTCAACGTTCTGAAGAGACGAAAAAAACTGAAGATCCCAAGAAGGATGAGTCGGATGAATCATCGGATGAAGAAGAGATTGAGGATCCTGTCGCTCGTCATTTGGCTCCCTCATCGCGACCTGGGAAAGCAGCAAGCTTTGCCAGTGACAAGTTTCCGGCTTTGGAAGACGTTGAAGCATCGGTGCAATCCAAGGCCACCGCCTCCTCGCCGGTTACGTCTCAAGATACCGGGCTTCAGGGGGGAAAGGGGGAATCATCAATGACCCAAGCTGGAACTAGCTTAGGGACTGGTGCGGGCGGAGCTACTCCGGGATCGACCATTAAAGCCTCGCCCATCAAATCATCAGCTACAAGCAACAAATCGGTTGAACAAAACAAACCGTCCATCAATTCCGGTGATGAACTAGAGGTTTCCGATTTCGTCGCCGACTTTGGATTGATTGGCTCTTCCTCATCAGCAGCCGGGGCAACGCTTGAAGACTTCGATAGTGCATTTGAGAACCTCCCTTCGCCTGAATCGAAAAGAAACCCTACACGAAATGGAGAACACAAGCCTGGCAATCCTCATCTCACAGGAACGACTACCACAAATAGCATTGGTTTTGATGATGGATTTGATGACGCGTTTGTTGTGATGGACAGGGAAAGTTCCAAGAAGGACCAAAGTAGTCCGCTAGGCTTTGACGAATCCTTCTCTGACTTTGATAAGATCTTAGCCGGTGGTAATAGTAGCCAAAATACTAGTAGCGGAGATAGTAGTAAGGTGCAGAAGAAGGAGCAGGACGACCCATTTGGCTCTCCGCCTCCATCCTCGCCCACCGAGCCGCCTCCACTGCCGACCAGACCGACCAATTCATCCTCCTTGACCAGCACTACTTCTACTTCTGCTGCTGGTCCTGCCCAACAGTCACAGCAAGATATGTCAGCAAAAAACGAGCCCGCTAAGCCTACCGATAGTGACGCTGTCAAACAAATCTGCGGTATGGGCTTTGATCGCAAAGTCGTCATTCAGGCTCTCGAAAGAGACGAATGGGATGTGGATCGCGCCTTGAATCATCTGCTTGGAACTTGATCCTCGCTTTGAGCATCTAGAGAATTTGAAGTATTTGATCTTTTTTTATTTGATTATTTTTTGAGTGTTTTTTGTTTCTGTTTTTGTGCATTGTGTTTCTATTTTCTGGGGGAAGTGAATGCCTAGTAGTAAGCCAGCCACTTCACACTCAAAGTTTGATGCCACTGGACTTGGTCCTATATTGGCTATCCCAAAACACCTGCCATCAGCTGTCATTGCAGCCACCCTTAGTCCTCTTTCTGGGCTGATCATCTGTGAAAATGAAGAATTTACTCCCCTGAGTGGATTCTAACAGCTTCCTCATTCTCCTACTCTTGTGTGTATTCTAAGAGAATTTCCTTATTGTTTGAGGTTGGGCTAAGAGTAAGATCTGTGTGGCTTTCTTCTTGACCTGTCCTATATTTTCCATGACTTCAGATGCGGTGTTAGAAACATTGACGATTATGATACAACATGTTGAAGGTGAAGTTGAGGAAGACAATATGCTTTCCAATAAGTTTGGATCAAGTCTTTCAGATTCGAACTAACATCAACCACCCAGTGGAACTTGAAGTGTTTAAAACTCAGCAGATAAGAGCTCTTGGAAGCTCATTGGGGGAGATCCACAACCGTCAATTTCTCCGAGTGATGAGTGATACGAACACAATGACGGCCGAGAGCTTTTGAAAGTTGATAATTATGTCGAGGATTCTAATTATCATCACAGACGATGACCAGAAGCGTGGGAAGCGCAAAGGGCGTCCACTAACCCGTTCTCCAATCAAGACTTGAGAGCACCTGCGAAACCTTCTGACCATCGACTTAGGTCTTTGATCTGGTTTGGCAAGCAACGATATTTTCGGATCGGAGGGGAGCCGAGACATTTGAAGTGATTGGGAGAGCTTTTGTCCGCTTGTGCTGGGAGGACTGTTGATGCGCAGGGGAAGAGGAGGATGGGTATGATTCAGGATCGCGCTATGGATCCCAACCAATCTGATTCTGTTATTATTATTATTATTATTATTTTTGCACCAACATGTGAACGCGGTGGGCCCTATTTGGCTCTTTATATAGGATCCTCAAAGAGTGGATGGCCGCAGAAAGGGACTGTCGCCGGTTGCGATCGGACGGTCTGATGAGAACAGACAAAGGCATAGTTCGGATGGTCTTTGGACGTGGATCGTCCCACCGTGATCGCCGAGATAACCAAGGATGGGTGTAACAGCATACATACAATGCTGCATGGAAGGTTTGAAGCGAGCCAAGCGAGAGGTGCTGATGAGAAACAAGATGGCGAAGTTGAATACCGAGATGAGGTAAGAAGAAGCAGAGTAGCAGCTAATTACAAGACTCGGAGGGAATGAGGAATGATTTCGCGGGATTGGAGGACCGTTGAAAGCGGCATGCCGGGTTGGATTAAGTTTGAACCCGCCTCTGTTACACTTTAGAAGTGTAGCAAGGAATGTATTGAAGCACACTTCTATAGTGCAAAAACTGTGGTTTGGGATCCAATCCCGCTTCCAATCCCGATCCCAAAATCCCGCAATCCTCCAAGCTCTCTCTTCAGTACAAGGGAGACTTGTCAACGATCCCAGTGCTAACCCCCTATCCCCAACCCCTATCCCTATCCCTATCCCTATCCCTATCCCTATCCCCTAACCCTAACCCTATCCCTAATCCCTAACCCTAACCCTATCCCTAACACCTAAGGCCTATTGAGGTGATTGAGAAGGGAGGGATGTTTTTTTTTTGGAGTTGAACTTCGATCGGTGTGAGTTGAGATATTGTATGAGGGGGGGGGGGAGGATTGCGGGATTGCGGGATCGGGATTGGAAGCGGGATTCACGGATTTTGCACTGTAGCAGTGCATTCACACCCGTTTCTGACTGCACTTCTACAGTGTAAGGGGTGTAGGTTCACAGGTCGGATTAAGCTGGGTGTTGAAAGAGCAATATTGTCCAGGAAACCGCGCCTCTGTCGGACTGTCGGTGTATCCCCCCCAGACTCGTTGCTTGGCTTGATATCCACACAATCGTCGCCGAGCCAGCCCTCACAGCGGTAACTTGACCGAAACCACGCCCTTGCAGGCTCGGCCTGTGCCGACGTAAAACACGTTGTATAGAGTCCCTGGGGGATCACCGGGCCGCACATGTACCAGGATGTCACACCCGGCTGGGATGAGTTTGATTTACAGAATGAATTTGTGGTTTGGATTTTAGGGGTATATGTATTCCTCGAGGAAGGGGGGCATTCATATAAGCCAGTGAGATAGCCTAGTTGGACTGGTGAAGCTCTTTGGGATGAGGGCGGAGCGGCGGGCTGGACTAACACCTCCACCTTCCTGCACTGCATGGGTTCAACCCTCAAGCGGGCCTAACATAAGTGGCCTGGTCGTTCATTCTGCCTAAGGTTCCGAACCGGACCCCGCAGATCCGGCGAGCTCCGGGAAACCGGAGTACCGGTTCCGGTTTCGGAATTGGGTTATGGAGATCCGGCATCCGGCCGGATTCTTCCCTTCTTGGGGTGGAGGCCTCGATGGGCTATCTGAGGATTCAAAGGATCTCTCAAGTGTTTTTTGTTGTTGTATTGTCATTGCGATGTGAAGAAGAAAAAGAGGGAGTTTGAGATCTTTACATCAAGTGTTTTTTTGTTGTATCGGTTTTGTTGTTGGAGTAATGAGAAGAAGAAAAAGGGAAGAGTTTGAGGAGGTATTTCCATAAGTGTTTTTTTTGTATTGGTCTCAGTCGATGAAAAGAAAAAAAGCAAAGAGAATACTAATTAGTCGGTTGAGATATTAGCCGAATTGCAAATGTTGATTACATTATTATCAATCCAATTCTGTAAGCAGATGATTGATTCGAGTGTTTTGGCTTTCATTCTGTTTCGGCTGTAATCTTGAACATGTCGACCGACGGAGAATGCTCGTTCACAGGGGGTACTGGAGGCTGACGCGGCCAGGTATGTTTGAGCCATCCTGGATAGGCTCGGAAACCTTTTGGAGTTACATTTCCAATAGGCTAATGGGTCACAAGCCTCTTCTTCACATTCGGAGTCGAGGTATACCGTGATTTCCTCTCGGAGCGACGAGATCTTCATCTTTTTCTTGATAAACAAAGCTGAGCTGATTGTTGATCGATGAGAGTCGTCTTCAGTGCTGCCTTTCTTCTTGGATGCTTGTGTTTCGGTGTAGAAGGAATCTGTACTGAAGCCCTCGGCCGCATCATTGAGCATTTGGATGACTTCCTCGATGCTCATATTGATGTCGTTGAGAAGACTACCAGTCAAGATATTGGTTTTGATTCGAGGATCGAGCAAGGTTGAGCAGAGGTAAACCGGCTTCTTTACCGCAAGATCGAAGTAATCCTTGATTTTTGCAATCATGAGGGTCGATGCTGGAACCAATTCTTGAGCATCATACTGCAATCGAGCCTGGTATCAATTGTGTAGAATAGAATGTCAGTTGAGTAGTTTGATAAAAGAAAATTGAAGAGATCATTCACCTTCTGCAATTCTCCAATGATCCACGTGTAAACTGGAGCTGCTAGCATCATCGATGGAAACTTGCTTTTTGACATTGTTTTGGTTGCTTGAAAGAGGGGTTCCAGAAAGTCGCAAAGTTGTCGGACTTTTGACCATTCGGAGTCTGAGAGATCGTACTTGTCTGTTATGGAGTTTTGTTCGCAGAATAGCCTGATGGTTGACCGAATTTCATATGCTCTTTCGAGCATTTTAAACGTCGAGTTCCACCGAGTAGCCACATCTGCAACCATGACTAGAGCTTGGCCATTATTCATAGCTTTGCTGAGGTCTTTGAAGCTGGCCGCTTTTTGGGACGATTGTTTCAAGTAGGTGCAGAGCTTGCTGATTCGAGAGATGAGACTAGACAGGTCAACTCGAGGAGGTGGGTCGCTGAGAATATATGCAAGAGTTTGAGGAGCAGTTCCTTGAGGTACCGAATTGGAAAAGGCATTGATGCCAACTTTTGCCGCCAAGTTTATCACATGGGGCATACATCCCAGCATGCAGTTTTCTGCATCAAACCCAATAAGCTTTTTGAGTTCTGCCGCCATCGTTCCGTTGTTTGACGCGTTATCAGCCGTTATGCAGAATATTTTGTTTTCGATGCCGTATTTTTTGAGGACTTCGGCAAGATGAGACGCTAAGTTAATTCCAGAATGGGGACCATCGATCAACTTGGTCGCCAATATAATTGATTTGAGCTCGTAATTTTCAATCCAGTGTGCTGTGATTCCAAGGAGTGATTCATTGCTAGGCGATGTCCAACCGTCACACGTCAAGCTGATTTTGGAGGGGATTTTTTGAAGCAATGACTTTAAAGCCTTCTGGCCATTTATGAAGGTGGTTAGAATGAAGTTACTTAATGTGTCAGCCGAGGGAAATAGGCTTTTTGTGACTGGGTTGCACAACTCCAGCATGCTTCTGAACTCTGGGTGATCGACGGTTTGGTAGGAGATGTGGCATCGGACAATGTATCGACCAACAGCGCACAACAAGCTCTCTCGGGTAAGCTTTTCCATTGAGACTTCTTTGTTGTTATCGAGGAACTTGACTAGAGATCCAACTTCACGTGCATTGCCTTTCTTGATGCCGTGTATCTTGAGGAGATGATTGCTCATACTGCTCGTAGATCCTCGGTCGTCTGGAGAGATTTTTCGGAGGCAAATTGAAGTACCTTTAGGAACAGTCGAAGCTTGACATATGTTCCACTGTTTACCATTGATGGTCTCGGTCTTGAAGTACTGCCAGACCCATGACGTTTTACCATCTCGAGCAGATTTGTTGGTTTTTTTGCTTTGAGCCGCAGAAGGATTGTTAGTTCCAAGAACAGTGACCTCGTCGGAGCTGGAGTCAGAGTCAGAGTGTGATGAAGCACTGTTGCTGGGAGTCTTTGAGGGGGAACGCTGCCGTCGTTTACTTGGCATGATGGACTGTGGTTGACACTGAGTACTCTTAGTGTTTACTTTATGGTCCACGACTCCACCTCCAGGAAGATCCTTGGTTTGGCTTAAATCCGGTGAAAACCGGCACTGGTCTCAATATCCGCGGTGATCGGGTTCGGTATGGGTGAAATCCGGCTCCGAGGCACCGGTTCGGAACCTTAATTCTGCCCCAACTCCAGCAATGACTGCCTATCCGACCGCATTCCGTTTTTTCCAGTGATCTCTCCTCCTCCCGGCCCGACCCGACACAACTCCCCGCCACCCCGGCTTGATACATCGTACACATCGCGGCGACACGCTATAGCTCGGGAACGGCATCCACTACCACTACTCATGGCATGTGAGTGGCCTGCCCCATCTCATTCGGGACCCGACACGGGTTCATCAGTCCAGAATCATCATATCCGGCACCTTCAACTAAAACCATGAAGAGCAATAAGCCGACCAAGTCTAATACCAGCCTTGCCCAAAAGAACCAGCCTTGCCCAAAAGAGTCTGATGCTACTTCGAAAAGATCTGTAATCTTGAGGTAGTTTTCTTTTTATAATCAGCTCTCTGTTCAAGCTGCTCACTATGATCCACCAATTCAATTTTTTGTTTCTTTTATTACATCCTGTTTCAATCAATTCTTAGGAAAAGGATGGTCCAAATTGGTTCTGTAAACGGCATCTTAAATACATGCAGAAAAAGTATAAAGCGTGCTTAACTTATGAGTAATCCTTTTGAAATGATGATATTGTTTAAAAATCAGCTTTGAACACCATGACTGAGATTTTCACACTTTTGCAGGGTGTCACTCAAGAATAGACTTCTATGGAGAATTTGACCTGGGACAGTCACTGTTGAAGGCTCACTGAAAAGTACACTGGCTTAGTAGTCCTGCAGATACACCATACGGACAACATCAAGTGGTAGAGGTATTTTCCCCTTGCCTGGTTTGTTGCCACAGGCAAGGGTGGATTTCCTCTGGGTCTAGCATCCTATTCCAATGGTGAATTAACAGTAGATGATGATTCACGCCACTCGGAGCTCTCCTTTAGGCTTTACAAGTACAATTTGCAATACAAAAAAAACGCGTAAAAACACTTCGCCCCCGCCCAACCACTGGCTTTCACTTGGACAGCATTGACACACCAAAAAAAAAAAACTCCACAAAAATATACATATAATGGCGCTTATGAACTCCTGGGCTTGACTTAATTAGGATCAGTGTAAATTGTATCTTTTGACTAATAAAGTGGATAGCCCGGTCACTCGAGCCTACCAGAACGAGACAAAAGAAACAAGGATGAGTTAACCTTGTGGTTGAGTTAAATTAGCACAAGATAATGCTCACCTTTCCGCCGAAGTAGCGCATTCCAAACCTTCGGACATGTCGATACTTTCTTGTGGTTGCACCTGTGAAGCTTTTTCGGCTCCTTCATGGCTGTCTTTCTCCCCTACGAATCTGGAAACCGTCGATTGAAGTTCTTCGATTCGTCTATCCTTTTCAAGAGATTGTCTGAACCAATGAAAATACCAGTCGCGAGTAAAAGAAAATGGATCATGAGTTACTGATAGCACGAAGACTATATATGCAAGCTGACAAGAGTAGAAAACTGACTGGAGAAGTTGATCATTCTCGGTCTTCAAGACTTGGTATTTTCTTTGAAACTCCTGAGCTTGACTTCTAGCTCTCACGCTATCCGAAAGGCTGCCCAAGCGATCCATTTCGAGCTCTATGTTATCGAGCATGAGATAAACGTGTTCGATCCTGAGTTTCCCGCAATTGGCCGTGCGTTGTTCGAGCTCCTGCTTAGAAAATCCATCAAACCTCTTCCAGATATTAATCCAACTGGATCCCTCTGCCGCTGAAGACAGCTTGATTTTGTAAAACGGTTCACAGGTTGGATTGTTGGATTGGCTCTACCTTCATCTTTTCTTCGAGAGAGTCGAGCCTTTCCGAGATGCCAGGCGACGATACCTCTTCGGGTACAGGATTGATGAGTTGGGAGGGATTTTGACCGTCGACGACGCGTTCAGAAAGACCATGAAGCTTGATAAACCTTGCGGGGGAAGACTGCCAACCGGGCTCTCTCAGGGTGACGTTACAGCTCGGACAATTCGTCGGGAATCTGCACAACAGTTGGCGATTATTCCATTGGCGTATACAAGCCGAATGGAAGAGATGTCCACATATGGTGGCCAGGATGTCCGCACCAGCTTGGTCGTCTTGGCAAATCGCACAGACGGGCAGGATGATTATTCGAGAACTAGCCATCTCAGTCACTCAGCAATCTAGACCTTGAAGGTAAGTAGTAGTAGTAGTAGGCGGTAATGGTTGAGGCCTTGGAGAGAAAACTTGAAGGGAAATGTTCTATCTCATGAGCGGAGTTGAGTGACCGACGAGGATATAGTGGGCCTTGGTGCTCTATGTGTAAGAAGACGCGCTCTTTTCCCGGGGACGCAAGCCTGGCGCAGCTTACATTCTTATTTATTTAGCCACAAGGAGCGACTGCAAGAAGCATAGAACAAAGGAAAGAAGAAGAAAGTCCAGTCAAAGGTTGAGGGTGAAAGGAAGTCGTGCATGGAAGTCAACGCCAGAGGATCTCCAAAGTGCAGTGGTACGATCTGGTACAAGAATGGACTGCCAAATAGACACACAAGCTGTAGGGTGAAACTAACGTAACGCTGTTTATGAAGGCAGCGGAAGCAGGGACGCCGTGCCGGAGAGGAATACAATTGAGGCCATCGGCAGTAGCCAATTACGCCGGTCCAGGAAGCCGGAGAGACCGGGAGAGTTGCATGAGGGAGTGGATGGAGTGGATGGGTTGGTGGTTATTTTGGGGGGCTTCACTCACACCAGCCAACCCACTACTATTTACAACAAAGCCCCACACCACACTCAGCACTGTTGCGACTCTCGACTAAAGCGGCAACGGTCTAAGCGGACATCGGACTACATATGGCTGCACAACCTCACGTGGCGACGCTAGGTAAGAAGCATGTTCCGGTCTAAATAAATAAATAAATACATCGGCCTACAATATTTGTCTATCGAGCAGCGGGTTAACATGCTAAATAATATGTAATCGATTCTGATTTCAGGGATGTTCATCCTAGATGTGAGTGATCTTCATGCTCTCGTTCATCTCTCCAGACAGTCACAGAACGCTGGTCAGATTTTTAAACTAAAGACAATGTTTTTGTCTTGCAAGGATTGATCTACATATAGAGCTTCAAATACGAGGATGATTATTGTGCTACGCAGAAACCGTCGCTTGATCCAGGAGAGTGGTACATCGGTGGCGGTGGGACATATGGTGAGCAAGCTTATATCTGATCCTTCTGAACGATTTCACTTCAAGCAAATCTCCAGCCTTTTCGCTGCGTCTGACATTCGGGAACCCACTCAGCAACGATTGGTGCAAGGATATGGTAATTTGGATCTTGCCAAAATTTCATTGGATCAATCACTGAACCCGTACTAATATTTAGCTTTTGTCTTTCTTTCTCACAGGCTATCTCCCGATCGGATTGCGATGATTATCCACCAGGGAAACGACTTTCCGGCGAAGATTTCAGAGGAATTGGGGAGCTACTCGCCCTGCTTATTCACGATGATCAGTGATCCGGCCCATCCGAAGACGACCCGCGCCCTCAACACCTACACCAACGACCGCCGCGAGTTCGCATATCTTACTCCGAAACGACGGGTCCAACTAGCCGAGGTGTATTCTGCCAAGTCTTGTCCGCCTGGGTTTTTACATCTGATATGCTCCCCAGAACGACTGGTGGACCTTCTCGCAGAGCGCAAGAAGCGCTTCCCAGACTGGACGCCCGAGTGGATTTGGGAACCCGTGCCCGAGGCCTGCAAGCCGGAGAACCTGTCCCAGTTACTCGAATGTGCCGGCCAGGTTGCAGTCTTCAGTCCCAATGAATTGGAGGCTAGCGAACTGCTTGGACATCCGAACCCACCATGCTCAGCTGAGGAAATCGAGGCGATCGCCGAACACTTCCATCAGGCCGGGTTCCAAGCCGTCGTCATTCGATCCGGAAAACGCGGATCGTACGTCATCGGGGCGCATGGCCCTGATCATCCTGTCGCACGATTCTGGGTCCCCGCTCTGATTGAAGATCAGCGCCTGGTGCTCGACCAGACTGGTGCCGGCAACTCATTCTTAGTTGAGCATTTGACCATCTTTGATGATCTTAGAAGGCATCATTTTGGGGCGCTGCTTTCCTCCAAACCCGCGGCAGCAAATCCATCTGATCAACCTCATTTTTGTTTTCTGTGTGTACAATATAGGGCGGTTTGATGGCTGGCTTAGCACGTGGTGAAAGTTTGCTCGACGCCACCTGCTACGGAGCCGTCTCATCCGGCTTGACGATCACTCAACTCGGCTTGCCCAAGATCACTCTCCGTCACGATTCTGAGCCGGCCTCGGAGATCTGGAACGGAGACCGATCACCACCCCAACTCCTGGCTCAGATCCGTCAGAGAGTTGTTGTCGTTCCTCCGAAGTGAGACTAGGAACATAAGTCTTATTTGAGGAGAGGCTTGTACCTGAAAATGAGAATATTGAACACCTAATGATTCAGTCAATATATTTGCACTCATAATCATGATTATGGTATGAAGATGAAATGTCATGAGGAGTTCTTCTATCCCTAAGGATTGTGCTTAGCACAGTAGGCCTGGATTATGAAGATGAGTATATGTATATCTATCAGCACCCCAAAATTTCCAAGAAATACTTCAAGTTGAGTCAGGTAATTATAAGAAAAACACAATAGATTTCAAGAGATTGAAAAATAAGAAGATAACATCATCAGAGGATGAAGCCAGGCAAGAGAAAATCACTATAATATCAGGCAAGATTCTGGGCAAAAATATAGGAAATTTATGAAGATTGGATACTGTTTTGAAACTACAAAAGGGGAACTTGTGGGAACAAAATATCAAAAGCCTCATTGGTTTTCTTATCCACTCTCGCTGAGCTCGCCTACTGGTACTGTCAAGGGAGCCCCTTTTCCGCCTTGCGGCGGTTTGGGGTCCCTTACCAGTGTGGGAAGAAGGGGTCGGGGAGAATAATTGTTCTTCCCCTGCCCTGACCAGAATACGGCTTCGTAGAGTGTCTCACCGGGGGTGCCGGCGGTTATGGAGGGTTTCAGGCACAAAGCCCCCCAAACCCTGGTTACCAAATATGGGTGGGTGGGATGGATTTGAAAAGAAAAGGAGTCGGCTCGCGTGAGAGGCGGCTCTTGGGAAATGGTGAGGAGGAAAGAAGACTAAGAGGCAGGACTCAGAAGCGAAGGCGACAATGAAGATGTCGCCGCGTAGAGGTGTTCTTATGAGTGAGCAACTGCACTGGCTTCTTCGTGTTGAGCACGTTCCTCTGACATAGGCCCATTCCCAGGTTGGTCCGCCACGCGTCCGTGGACTGAACTAAGCTTCCCCTGCGGTTCAGCCAGTAACAAAGAATGCTCATTACTTTAATTTTTTGATTTGTTCTTGATTCTCTTAGTGATTGTTCTCTGGTTTCTTCTCTGTTAAAATTCAATTCTGGTTATTTTCTTTCAAATCTTTTTTATCTGTTTTCTGCCTTTTTTTTCTCTAATTGTCCTGTTACTTGGTAATTATCTGCTTGTCAGTTTCTTGAATATCTGGTGCCAGGTGGTGTGAGGAGATGAGGAGATGAGAGGGGGCTTATTTCAGTGATTGGGGCCAAGGAATGTCTATGTAGGTTTGATTATGTAAGCACTACTTGGGTCCAACTTTCCTCCCAAACTTCCCTTCAACAGCAACAACCAACAACCAACCATCCCAAAGAATACATAACCACCAACAGCGATGACGATGAGCACGAGGACGGAGGATGAACTATGCTTCATACCATCGAGGGACTTACTCAACCCAAAGTTTGAATCATACAAAGTAAGGATCATCTTTCTCCAATCTGAACATCTTTCATACAGTGAACACTTGACTGACCTTCATACATAAATCATTTTTAGCTTAAAGAATATGACCAAACCAACTTACGAAGGATCCCTCTGGCCAAACCTATCGACCTCTCGATCAATCCAAACTTCAAGAGCTTCAATTTCCAAGAGCTGAAATCAAAATCAACATGGAACCATCTTTTAGTAGGAAGCTTTCCTAATACCCCGGCACAGTTGATTTGGATCGAACCTAGATCTCTTCAAATCTCTACACTCAACGTCAGCAGCACAAAATCAATCTGATTTGATTTGACCTGAATAAGATTACCTGACTGATACTTCAAATTTGTTCACCCTGAAAAAAAATATTCTCGGTTTATCCAAGCCAGCATCCAGATTCAAACGATCCACAGATTTCTTCAGTACTTCAGCTACCCGACCGACGTGAAGAACTGCTTGGAGACCAAATCAACCAAGGAATCGAATTTGATTACCCAACGGGGTTTGCACTCAACCATCACCGTCTAAACCATCTCGCTTCCCAGGAGCAGAATCTCTGGCTCATACTCGATGGCGGAAAGACGCTCTTTCTGGTCGATCTGAACCTCAATTCTTCTCCTCGAATACTCGCTCAGAAGGAACTCGATGATTCATCGGATCGCTTCATCCATGGATTCTATAAAATCGCATCGGTTGACGTTAAAGATTCTCAGTCGGATACATTCTGGATGATCCTACGAGCTAAATCAAGCCAAAAAACATCTGAAGAGCTAGATCATGAGGAAGTTTGCCACCAAAATATCAAATCAACTAAGAAGAGAAAGTTGCTCTATACCCCCTATTTAGTCGAGATTCGGATCACACCCAACCCTTCATGCAACGCTGAGCACTCCTCGATCATGCCCTTCATTTTGGATATTCAACTACACACACAATTGACGGGCGCAGACGATCTCCTATCTGTCCATTACGACCGTCCTGGTCATCGATGGTGCCTTCGATCAACTTCAAAGTTCACTTCTCTCTCTCAACAAACTTCTCCTCAGCCAGCTCAACCACCGGAAGAGGCCAACGAAAGACTAAACCAAGTCCAAAGCAAGCAGACTGATCCAAAATCTTCATCCACGAGCTCTCCCGTCTCGCCTTATGCTTGGAGCCAAACTCTTTCAACCCTCACAATCACTTTCAACATCCCTTTCCCCATCACCAGCAAGTTGATCAAGATTGACTTCCGAACAGGCTCTATCAATTTCCGACTACCCAAGCTGGATTCCTTACCCAAGGAAAATGAGGATTATCTTCCAAACCTATTTGCTTATTTTGGACAGCAATTCACGCTCAATAGCACCGAGCAGGCAACTGGATTAGTATTGGATCTTTGGGATCATGTCGCCCCGGAAGAGTGCACCTGGTTTGTCGAATCTTCAGTCAACAAGAGCACCCTCCTCACGATCGAGCTCGAGAAACATACCCGGTTACGTTGGCCACAAGCTTTCAAAGTAGATTTCCAAGTCTCAGAAACTATGGACCCGATCGAACTGCTTTCGATCACTGAGAACCTTGCAAAGTACACGTCCACGGCTGATGATCAAGAAGCCGGTTTACCCTCTAAAAAACCAAAACTAGGTTTGGGGTCAGCGGCCGGCGCGAACCTCAGCTCCACGACCCCCTCTTCTTCTTCCTCTGGCGTTGGTGCATTTCCATCAATCCATAACACCTCCTTGACCGCAGGAGAGATGGACGAAGAGATTGATCTGGCTAATGAAGTCATGGTCACTGGAGTCGTGATGACTTGGTTGATCGAGAAAACCCCCGACGCTCGAGCCGAGATGGCCAGTCCGAGGGAGAGTGATCCGAGCGATTCCAACTTGCTCGTTAAGGTCGCTCAGAATGGGATCCCCGTCGAGCTGATCTCCAATCCACTCAAGGTCGTCCAGCTCGACCACTCCACTGCATCCAGCCTAAAAAAGGAAGATATTGAGTACGAGTCCGGATCGACGATGATGATCAAATCGGATATCGATGGCCTAGTCTTCAGTCCCCCTGATGGACGAGAAGATAGGCTGAACTTGCGATGGACCCACCGTCTGAGCTATCCCGCACTGGCCTTCGTCATGGCCTCTAAGCGCGAGATCTGGGCGTCCTTCTTCACGCCTCAGTTCACCCTGCTCTTCGAAACCTCGTCCGCTTCCAAGGATCGCCAGAGTCTCGGAAACTTGTTTGTCTATCATCACACTCCTGATCGGCAATCGGTCTCCTCCCAACGCGTCATCCAGCTCTCGTCGCCTCATCAGATCAATCCAGTTCCCCTGTCCTCTTCCACTCAAATCCATCCTCACCTTCTTGGCCTCTGTGCACTCTCTAAAGCTCACCCCTCTTCTCCCTCTCCTCTCTCTATCATTCTTCTGTCCCAACATGAAATCATCATCTTCGACCTCTAGTCATCCCCCCCCCATTCATGAATGGAATGCTGGACAGTTTGGGCATCCACCAAATCATTGCAACTTGTAGTGCAGATTGCAAGCCTTGCAATCAAGAACAGATTACCACGAGAAAGAAAATTCAGCTTGCACCAGGTGGTTCATGAGGTAGCTCATTGAATGTGGTACAATTGGGACAACAAACCTCTTAGGTCCACCCAAACCTCATCAGATGTTACAAGAATTTGCAATATATTGCTGCCAAACAGAGCATTGGTCTTTCTCAGATAATAGGAACTGGCCACGTAATAACCACAAGAACTGTTTATGTACATTGGTTTTTTTTTGCTATAAGTCAGATTATATATCTTTGTCAAGATGGATTGAATTTATATCAGACCTTGACATAATTTTTTTTGTGTTACTGAAAGAGCAGATGATCAAGGAAAGATGAGTCTTGTTTTATACAAATAGGATGGTTGCAGATTATAAGATTTGTAGCATTATATTCTCAAATCATAAGAGATTAGACATAAACCTTGAAAATCTTGGAAAAAATAAGAATCATGAATTTTCAAATCAAAATCCTCTAGGCCTCAAGATGATTTCTATGTGCACGTATTGAACCCATAGGTGATACAAGCATTGTTAAAGTTTGACAGTGCAATCAAAACATTTGAAGTTATCATACATATTTGAGTTGGAGCACGCGCGCGCTGATCGGGCGGCATCATAATTAGCAAAGAGGAGCGCGTCCTTAATCCCAGCCCAGCGTGTCTGGACAGCAAAAGAGAAAACTCCGATCAACCAACAAGAGCTCGACCGATGCCATTCAACTTCTCACTCGCCTCGACTGCAACCTCAGACGCAAGTGCCCGCACTCCCCATGGATCTTTCCCGTTTCTGACTGGCACGGATGCGAAATTCATAAGTGATATCATACAGCGAACCCCACGAAACACCCCAACATTCAGTACCCTTTTAACCGGTTTCAATGAACTCTTGGATGAACAACAACTGGACCCTCAATCACGCGAAAAGTATTACTCTTTACTACTCAAGCTTAGTCTGGTGGCTGGTCAGGACTGGCACGAACGATGGGCTCGGGTTTGCGCTAGTCAAGGCTTGGAGCCGAGGGAAAATGAGACAACCCACAATTTGCTGCAGCTTTCGCCCCCATCAAACTCTCAGGACGGCCTTGACAGTAGCATGGAAGATGCTTCCCGTACCATACGTGCCAACCCGCTACACACTCATCCCGATTCACCTCCCTTACAATCGCCCACTTCTACGCGACTAACCCTGCCTCGCATGACGTATCGGCAGCAAACCCAATCGACTCCAAACAAGCTAACGCGTTTCACTCCATCGCGAGTCAATTCAGCTTCTACAATATCAACAGCAGACTCGACCGAAGACACTGGCCTCGATTTGGGCTCGCGCTTTGTGGATCCCCTCGACGCACTCTCTGATCGCGTTCGGCGCGAAGCCTTGCTCCAATTAGGATTTCATACATGGAAACACCTGTCCAACTATTGGTTGATGGCGAACAAGGAAGCAGATCTTGGTAGGGGAAGATTGGTCGTTGGATATGCTTGGCGCAAGTGGAGATCGAGATTTGGGAAACGTCAGCGAGAAATCAGGATGGTAGATAGTGTCGCCAAAACAAGGTGGGTACATACACTGGTCGCGTTTTTTTTTATACTCAATCAGCTCCTCTAACGTCTTCCCCCTCTCCAATTACTGATTTGCTCTCTAACACAGGTCCAAGTCCGCCATCTTGATCCGATGGAGAGCCGCAACAACCGAAAAACAGAGAATCAGACGCAAAAACTACGAAAACCAAGCTATCAACCAAGTCCAGAACTTGATGAACAGAAATCTATCGGTTCAGATTTTCACCGTGCGTAATGATTTTGCCTTTGTTTTCTTCATTGGATTCATGAGAGGAAAGAGAACTGGTTCTAAGAAAATGAGACTAACTTCAACTTCCTGATTCCCACTAGAAATGGACACTTCTAACCAAGCTCTCGATCACCCAAAAGCATAGAGATAGCAATCTGAAGAGTCTAGTCCTTAACCAATGGGCAGATCAATTCTCCAGGATCTGTCGGATGACTAAGCTGGCGGACAGGCATCACGGAGACGTGAATGTGAACAACTCACTTAGAAGGATGGTCGCTCATTGGAGATGGAAATCGGATTTGGTACTCAAGGAATTCCACATCGTTCAAGTCTCTGACCAACATCTTCAAATCGAAGTTTTGGCTCAATGGCGTCAGCTGGCGTAAGTCTTACTTTTGTCTGGTTTTCAATCAATCAACCAAACGTGGTCCCCTATTATCCTTTTGAGAGTTAGACGCAACGCTGGCGCATGATTGGTTGATTAATTCTGGCTTAAAGACCTGTTTGTATTCTAGGATTTCATTCCGATTGGCCCATGATTTCTGGGTAAGAACCGCTCAAAGAAGATGGATCCGAGTGTGGGCCTATCGTAGATACCGATTAAAGGTAAGGCTGGCATGCAATCTATCTTCTATTACAATGTGTCCTTCAGAGCAACAATGCTGACCAAACAGGTCCAATTACAGAAAATGCAACGCAAAGCGAATCGAGTGATCGCCGTGCGAAATCATAACTTGGTGGGCAAAATGATGAATCTGTGGATGATTCAGGAAAGGGGACGACTCCTGGGAAGAATCCTATTGACTAGATTCCTCAAAAACGCCTTCGGTTCCTGGCTGACTAGGTTCAACAGGATTCGACATTACTTAGATGGTCCGCGCGACCACATCCCTTTACTCAAAGTTTATAAAGTTACTAATTATTATTATTGTTATTAATGTTTGCGTCGACTCAGCCAAGCGACAAGTGTTTCAGAAGAAGCTGGCGAAACGTCTCCAAGTGAAGATCTTGAAGGCATGGAGAGAGAGATACTTGCAAAAATCAATCCAGTTGACCGGCCATGCGGTTGACAGATATCGGATCAGTCTAGTTGCTCGACATCTGAACCGATGGATGATCGTCTATTCGAGAATTCAAGACCTGAATAAGAGAACGTACTCGGAATGGAGAATGGATCGTTTGAAACGGGTTTGGGCTCTCTGGTCAGCACGTCTCCAACGGGCTAGGATGCACAGACTTGTCCGGATCAGGAAACGCAAGATGTTGAAGAACCGATTTCATGGTCTGTTCCGTCTTATACTAAGAATGCGTTTCTTTCTGCCCCTCTGTTTATCATTGTACTGATTCTTTTCTTGATTGCTTAATTTCAGATTGGGTGGTCCTCACGCGTCAGAGGAAAGAAGATCAGAGGTTGTGTATGATCTTCGAAAACAGAGTCGACCCGGTTCGTCAGATTTTGCTTTTTGATATCCTACCGCTCTCTTGCTCAAGCTGAGTGTTGACTCTTGCCCTCAGATTCGAAAGCTTTGTGTCATCAGGATTTGGGTCAAACGAGTTATCGATCTCAAAGAACGTACTTTACAAGTCGACCGGAATTATGCAAATCGTGTTCGAAGGTACTTAACGTTCCTTTCGTCCAAGATGTATCTGCCATTGAATGCTTCTTCCCCTACCTTAGTATTTACATCGACGTTTGGGTCACTCGTATTTTGGATATCCGTCGCTTGAATGAATTAGCAAATGGATTTGCAGAGATCCAAAAAATCGGTAAGTCAATCTTCAATCCGCAGTCATCCTTTTCCCGCTTGATGTGTTTGGCCTCTGATCCTCCTACTCTCTACTTCATCTTTCAGAATTACGTAGCCGACTATTAGATTTTTGGAGGAACACGGTGTCTGATTCTCGCAGACGATCAGCAATACTGGCAGGATGGTGCGAGTCTCGAGATAAAAAGACCATCAGATCGACGTGGATCCATTGGTCAGATAAAAATATTCAACAGAGCTTGAAGTTCCATGTAAGAATTCTTCCCTGTTGAAGAAGATAAATTAGATTTGAATTTATTTTGATCATCAATTTCTTGACACCAGGAAGACCAAACTCGAGAAATGATTGATGATCGATTGAGGGAGCAATCCCTCCAAATCTGGCTGACGAAAACCCAGACATTACCAGCCTTACGATTCAATCGCCAAAGATTGAAAATTCGATGTCTCAGTCATTGGTCCCAGCTTACTGAAGTTCGACACCTTCGCCGAATAGCCGTCTCACGCGACCGGAAGGTTGTACTTTGTGAGGCGTTTAAGGTGTGGTGGGGGAAGTGTGCTGCGATCAAGGCGTCGCGTATTGTCAGGTAAGTACAAACTAATTAAATTGGAAACTTCCCAGAGTATTTAACATCCTGCGTTTCCGAACTTCAGTCGGTTTAGTCGCCCATCGGCCTTCTCGGGTGGAAACAGACAACGCACCCGAAGCAGTCACCAACTGCCAGAGTTATCGCGCCAGAACCTGGTCGAGTTACTTTCGAATCCTTCTTCTCGGCCGGTCAGCTCCCCTGGCCGTCGATTGATGGACCTCCCAGTGCCGCCACGCAGACGCGTGAGAGATGTCCCGCAGATGTATGATTCGACGACCAGCGGTGAGGAAAGCGGCGCACCACACACTCCGCAGATATTCCCGCGGAGACCAGATGGAGAACCACTGCGAAATGGAGGCCGTCGGGTAGACACAATGGCAACAGAGAATAGATATCATCATGAAGAAACAGACGACACGGAGGAACAAGACACGGAGGAGCAGGAGCAGGAATGGCAGGAGGCGGTAGAGGAGGAGCTAGAGTCGCAAGAAGAATTCGAGGAAGATCAGACAATCCTCGGGGACGCTAGTGAGATGGTCGTCGGGGAAGAACCAAGCACGACAGAAACGGAGGCATTGACTGAGGCAGAGATTGACAGGATGATCCGAAGGCGACTCGGCCCCCGCAGATTCGGCCCCGGGTCAGCAACTACCACGCGGACACCGATCACTCAAGCCCTTGAATCAGACTCGAATGCCGAGTCCGTAGACTCTCGGCTCCCGATCGGTTCATCCAGGATCACTCACTCCCGCCAGCTACTCAATCCGCCCTCTTCGGCCCCTTCTCGCGCTAGACAGAATCAGGTCTTGATCGGATTGAGGAATCTCGATCTCCGAAGAAGACAGTGATACATTCAATGGAACATCTGGCTTGCAATAAACTTGCTCATGTAATCAATTCTTTTTTTGGTACATCAATTCGGGGTTTATCCCATATCTTGCTTGCTACCTTGCTTTCAAAATAATTTGTTGTACTATGTTTGATGTTTTATTTCTTGAAATTATAATTGGTCATAACATACGGACAACTTGATCTTCCTCCAGAATCATGTCTCCCTTACAAGCATTGATAACTCATCGTTAGGACTGCTTACATGAATCAAAGCAAGTGGACGTGTCTCAGCTGCGGAAAAGTCAAAACTGCAAGCCGGGGAATTCCTCCCCCTTGCTACGTTTGCGTTATATATTTGTTTTTCTGATCATGGTCACATGGTACATCAACATACTGTAGCAAACGAAGCCAAAACGTGATGTCCAAAGAAAATGAACCACACAGTCACCTGATTAACACAAATTAGTTTATACTAACTTTAGAGTTCCATCAGTGCGTGGCAGTTTGGAAGGAGAGTGTCCCGGTGCTTGCGGTGCATACAACTGCGGCTCTGTTGTTTGATATTATATGTAGACTCCAGTTCATACAGTTTCGGGATCATTTTCTTGAGTCTGAGGCTCAGCATTGGGCCTCTTAGCAAGAGTCCATACATACTAGTTGAGGCAAAACCTCACCTTCAGCCTTCCTTGGATACGCCCCAAAGAGGACATTTCTAATTTCAGTGGTAAATTTAGCAAGGAAAGAGTGTACTTGACTGCACGAAACAATCAGTTTGAATGCTGGGATAAATTAACCGTCTAAAGAAATTTAACAAACTATGATTTGAACTAAATTGAAGGAATATATAATCTTTGGCAGCGGAATACTAAATATCATTACTTGCAGCACATCACCAAGGAAATTGTGTTGGGCCAGTTCATTCAAGCAAGGCTTCTAGGCAATTGAGCAGACACATCAATATTTCCACCCATCTTTTCACCGGTTTAATGTTCTTGGGTCTAGCCGGCCACTTGTAATGAATTGCCATTTTCTCATCAAGTTCAGCGTCCAAAGGATAAATTTCACCCCTCTTAAGGTCGACTTCTTGAAGAATGGGCCTGTGGGTTTTTTTGTTGAGCACACTACAGGAAACATGATCGATGTGAGATTTGAGAAACCATTTTCTCCGGTTCTTGTCCAATATTATTGTTGCAGGTCCAATAGAAGGAGATCCGGGAACAGGCGTTTCTTTGTCGACCTTCGCACCGCTACAGCTGGCTTCATGATCATTCAACATCATCGTCACAGGTTCCGTCACAGGAGGTTCAGGAAGACGTTTTTCATCCGCTATCGTTACGATTTCCTCGCTGACCTTCCCTTTATGCCGCATTGGTTCCACAAGTCGCGTTGCAGAATTCATATCAACCATTGAATTTGCAGCCAAGATAAGCAAGATGAGAATGTGCTGTGCTTGATCCTTCATGCTTATCGTCCAGTATTCCTAACTCGTTTGATGATAAGAGCATTCAATGTCAGAACGAGTATTTATTGATCATCATATGATACAATCTTTGACCAGACTTACTGACCAGGGAAGAAGGGTTGATTGTCCCGCGGAAAAAAGGTTGGGCCAGTCGATTGTGATGATTATTTTGGTGACAGAGAACAAATCAGGGAAAACTGATCAGGTTAAGGGGTTATAAGGCATCCCTGACTACCTGTCCCCAAAATTTCCATAATGTAACACCGGTTCAACATGACTGGATAATAGATGGTCCCGGGCATAGCCTTCAGAACACTAAGCAACAGCACGCACCCATCCAATGTGTTTGTATCTTGAAAGGCTGATAGCACCCAAGTGAATGAACTGTATGAGTGAACATGACAGATCATGAGACAAGTGGAGAGGATTGAACAGCCAGGAAACTCTGGTTTGATTTCCCAATGAACATCTGACTGATGTCCTGTCCATAAACCAATCTTGCACTATAGCTGAGTGTGAAAAAGGAAAGGAGAGGTAGTACTGGACAGAAGCTTTCCTTTATAAGTATTGATGATTTAGAGGGAGTATTGAACAGAGGCTTTCCTTAAATATTGATGTGTCACTCACAAAGTCTCAGATGTGGAAGAAAAAAAGACTGGAAATCTCAATAATAGAGGTCTGCACTGCAGTAAGGTGTAACCAGCAACTCTGAGGGAACCTTCTATTTTGGTTCATTTGGAGGGTAAACCACTGCCAGTATAATGGACTAGGTTGGGGGTATCCCAGTTAAGCTGGGATGCACTTGACCAAGTTAACTTGGTTGAACGTCAACCAATAAAATGCTTTTGAAGACAGAGTTGGTTTGCCATCAAGGAACCTGTTACAAACTTCAGGGATGTAGTGCATCTGATTCAAGAATACACACTGGTTAGGAATGTTTTGTGTGATCTTTAGAGAGAGAAAGTGATTGAGTTCCTTGCCTGCACCAATTTTGAAATGTTTACCCAAAGAGGAAATGAGAGAGTCAACAAACTCTGGTTCACCCAAAATTTTGAGATCATACACATGGGTGGTGAGAGCAACAACTTGTTTGCCACCAGTTTGAATTAGACAGTTGGATTGTGCTTAGAGTACTTGAAGAGCCCCAGCTCAAGAAGCACATTGTGAAGCTCAATATTCCACTTGATTCAGAAAAACTCCCAAGGGGGCAGGGGGAGCCGCTGGCATTTTTATTAGTAAAATTTAGGATTCAATTAGCATTGATATTGACCAGCATCAGTTGGAATTGGAATCTGGGGTTTTCTTTTTCAAACTCATGGGTAGACTACCAGGATTAGCCAGTTACATTTGTTTCTCCATGCACACCAGGTTTAGGACATGTGCCCTTTTTGTGCTGATGAAGCGTCCATGGGCAGGTACTGATATCCCACGTGTGCTGACAGCCATTACAACGAATGTTTCGCACTAGCACATTTCTATTGCACACCCCTTCTTGATGATCATATCCATATATGCAGAGGAAAGTTGTTGAACATTTAACCCAACTTTCTCCATAAATTACAATGTGTAGAGACAGACAAAATGAAGATGTGTCTGGTGAGAGTCGAACTCACGACCTCAGCTAAGCTGAGACACATACTAGAGTGCTGCCTTTACCAACTAGGCTACAGACGCTTGTGACTGCCAGGGTTGTTGGGTGGTAGTGCTCATGGTTCGACATGTAGTGATACATCATGGTAGCAGACTATCAGACACCTCAACACAATGTCATGGCTGTTACAAGCTGGATGACGTATGCAATGTGTCCCAGAAACTCCCAGTTGAACCAGAGCCACCCCCAAGAGCACTGCCCACAGTGAGGCTATTGCTGGGTACTTTGAGGGAAATGACTTTGGTGGGATTTGAACCATTGATGTGTTGTTTGATTGTATCTCTGGGTGATTTTTGTGATTAGAAGCAAGCAGAAATTACAAGAAGACTATTCCAGATGATGGCAAATTTTCTCAATAGCATTTATTAATTGAATCAAAACAATTAATTCAGTAAATGACTCATCTTGCTTCATATTCTTGGCCATCTTCCTACCCAAAATATCAGTTGAGACAACCTGGATTGTGTAGAGACAGACAAAATGAAGATATTTCTGCTGAGATTCAAATTCACAATTTCAGCAATGTTGAGACACATACTAGAGTGCTGCCTTGACCAACTAGGCAACAGGTGCTTCTGACTACCAGAATAGTTGGGTGGTAGTGATCATGGGTCAAACCACAAGCTCCACCATACTGTGGTGATACATCATGGTAGCATACTATCATACACCTCAACACATAATTCTCTGCAACTCTTTACCTCCACCATATACATTAGTTTGGCTTTATTTGTCACCTGCATGCACTGCCACTGCAGACTGTGAAGTTTTTGTTGAATTGCTTTTCCCACAGTTTGCTTTGTTTCCCACATTTCTTATGAAAACAGCTTCATTTTTCCCAACACTTATGGCCTCATTGGACACTTTCCTACCTTATTTATGCACTTCAGCACAGCCTTTGACATTGATTGCACACAGCCTCACCAGCCAATTTCCCTCACTTGCATGATCAGACTAGCTAAATACACTTGTTTGTATCTGCAGGCCAGATAAAATCACTCTTTGTTTTCTTCCCAAAAGCTGAATTCCCTCACATTTGTCTATAAAAGGAGGCTCTCTTCTGCCCATTTGTTGTCTCTTCAGTTTATAACTCTTCAGTTTATTACTCATCAGTTCATCACTCACCAGTGTATTACACACACATCACAGTCACACAAGAATTATATGACCAATTCACCTGTTACATAAAATAACAGTTTCTTTTTATCAGCAATTATAAATTTAACCTGTATTATTTCATCAAACAAAGTTTTATCTGAGCCAACCAACCCTATTGTGTGAATAAAACTTTCCAAGATAGCTTAGTGGGTCTTTTTATCTGATAGTACCGAAACGCAGAGTTTGCACTTTCATCATCCCCTTCTCCATTCCGCAAAAGGGTTTCACAGCCTCTTTTGAGCCTTACACCAAGGTGGTTTCTGATGGTCGTGAAGGGTACCTGCCAATGGGTGCCAGGTACCCAATTGCCATCTCTACTGCCACACAGACATATTTCACAGCCCTTTCTTTTGAAAACTTTGCTTAAAATGGGCTACCAATGGATTGAAATGCTAAAAATTCAAGTTTCAAAATCATGTTAAGCTCAAAGCAAGGCTCTACTGAATTGAGTATAGAAATCTTAAAACCTCTTTCAAAACACACAAGTCGAGAGTTTAGATTTGAGTTGCAAAGCAGCTTTTGCCACTGGAAGGGCCCTGGATAAATCAAAAAGATTTCCTCTTGATTTGGGAGCTCTCCAATATTCTGGTTCAAATCATGCAGGTATCCAAATTGTTGACTATAGGCCCATGGTTTGACCTTTCCTAATCCTGACCCAATTGCTTGACCATTTTAGGGTGAAGTTTTTCAAAAATGCAACCCAGAATTTTATTTCTGTGCTGGGATGAGTTGGTGGTTTTCTGAACCAACCCAACATATCATCAGCCCTAGGTATACTCATTGAAACTAAATAATTCCAATCAGGAAGTACATCCCATATTGCACTTGGCCTGGCAATAGACTCATGAGTTCCTTTTGGTACTCCTTACATTTAGAAAGCATCAGAGTTTTATTTTCCTGCTCTGTTTGCATATAACTCTGTAAAAAGTCTGGATGTTCTTTCCATTAAGCTAATTTGGAGCTTGGGGATTCCATTTTTCATTTTTGCATCATTACATTCAAGTAATTTTCCTTTTGTCTCATGTTGGCCTCAGCTAGCAGAAATATGTTTTTGTGTATATAATGTGTTGTCAAGGTAAAACATTAGATCTGTAATTGTATGTCAAAACAAAAAAAGCACAAAAATCTTGCTCTACTAAACTCAAATAATTTGGATGTTGAAAAGAATATATAGAGAATGTTAATATTGGAATAGCAAACACATTGATTACAATTCCTTTGCCATTGCATGTACATATGGTCGAGACATCAAAGAAGTTTTATTAGGGCAAATCTGTCTGTTGGTGCTTCAGCTTCTTGAGAATTAGTCAGATAAACTTTTTTGAGACGTTTAGAAAGCGAGAGCCATAATTTGACTGGTTTGCTGCCCAGCTTGGGACTGGTCGTCCATTTGTAATTGAGGACGATTTTTTCATGAAGTTCCGCGTTCAATGGATAAAGCTTATCCTTTTTAAGTTCGACTTCTTTAAGAATCGGTCTGTTTGTCTTTTGGCTGACAACGTTGCAAAAGACACCATCCATGTGGCTCTTGAGGACCAATTTTTTCCGTTTTTTGTCCACCATGATCGTCGCAGGTCCAACAGAGGGAGATCCGGGCACCGGTGTTTCTTCGTCGTCTATCGCACCACTGCAGCTGCACTCCCCCATCATTTTCGTCGCAGATCCTGAAGAACGAGGTCCGGGGAGAGTTTGCTGTTTGGCATTTAGCTTCGTCGTGCCGCTATCCTTGATGGCCTTTCCATTGACACGCATCGACTTAATAATTTCCATGGCGACATTCAGATTGACTATCATAGCAAAGACAAGCAAGACAGCGATGTGGCGAACTTGATCTTTCATGCTGAGAAGTCTTTTTAAGAATAAGCTCACAGTTCAGAAAGAGTGAATCATTTAATTGCATTGATTGACAAGCATAGGAATCACTCTTTGGCAAGCATTACTCACCAACTCAGACGGGTTGGCCAATCGGAGACAGTTCAAGCGGGCTGATTGCGACTTTTGGGTGACCCCAGTTTATTAAGAAACAAGAGGAAGAGGCAGCTGATTAAGCAGTAGGTCAAGACATCCCTCGACACCTGTACCGCATTTTTCAGGATCCCAGACCGATGTGGTCGACGGCAAGCAGAGCAAAGCCTCCACAGCACTGAAACAACAACCATCACCTCTCCAAAGTATTTACGTGCTTTGTAAAGCTAGCTTTATATGAACATCGGAACTTATTTAATCAGCTTTACGTGTGAACATGACCGCGGGTGATGAGACAAGTGGAGAGTCTTGAGGAGCTGCGCCGCCCTTAGGCTTAATGTTTGGCCTTTTCAATCAACACTTGACTGGTATTGTCTGGTACCCAAAAATCCAACCCCGGACCACACTGCCCAAGCTTCATGCCAATTGACAGGTGTTTTTGGAGCATGCCAAAATACATGGGGAAGTTTGCTGTGGATTTCTCTACTTTTTTTGGTAGGAACCGCAGTCCAGTATATTACAAAGAGTGTTTGAATGTTGTACTAGGGCTTACTGAAGTCAAATGAGATGAATGGGGCGAGGGGTGGTAAAAAGTTCGGGTAACCTTGGGTCCTGGGATCCATGGAAATAAGCTTCCCCAAGAAGTTTTGAGATTCTCCCAAAAAGACCCAACCAGAAGCTTGTTGGATGACCCAGTGGATAGATGCTCAATTCAAGTAGAGTTTTCTTTAGATACTTGGATACATGGAAAATAAGCTTGAAACAAGGACTGGGTGAAATCAGAATATATAACTGAAAGTTGATCTCTACCAATTTACTGCAGGTCAACAAATACTTTATCTGCTTCATATTGCTACTCTTTTTGTATTGCATAGTTCCTTTCTTTCTTTTTGGAATGAACAAATAGAGAAAAAAAAATAGTGAGATGTATTTATTGTATGTCGAATATGCCGAAGAAAGAAAAGGAAATCCATAGAGAAGCTTGCACATGAACATAATTAATTGGGGAAAAAACGCGCATGTAAATATTGATTGAATTGGGTATATAATGCGAGAAGAAAGGAAGATATTGAATGCGACGGAAAAAAATTGAATAGGTAGATCGGTAAACTGAGTTTTTTTTTTTAAGATTTATCTACGACAGAGGCTTGATTATCAGCAAGATGATTATTTTCCGGTTTTTCGAAGAGATCAAGCTGATGAGAACCAGGATTATTTTCAGGTTTCTCGAACAGATCAAGCTGATCAGGAGTGGCGGGATTGTCTTCCGGCCGATTAATTTTCAATCGGCGATTGACTCTCTGAAGTTTAGGCAAGACCTGAGCACGTTTGATAGCGACTGATTTAAGTTTGATCAGGTCGGAGAGCGACTGATTGAGCGGGGTATCGACATTGAACTGGCTGCCCAAACGACATATATAGCCGTTGATATAATCGATTTCCGTGCTAGTCTCTTTCACTGATTTTTCTTCTTGGCCGGAGATGAGGGATTGATAGTTAGGGATTTTGATTGGGGCTTGAGAGGCGGCGATTCGGTTGAGGTTAGCTTTAGAGAGCGTTTTGTGGGGGCTGATCCGGTTGGTGGCTAGGGTGCGGATGTCGGAGCACATGGAGGAGATGTTTGCTCTGGTGGCGAGTACGATGTCGTTGACGACCCGTTGGAGGTTGGGGGCCGAGAGGGAATGGTGGGGGCGGAAAGGCTGGCCAGCTTGGGCGGCAAAGACTGCACTGGCTTCCTGGCAGACTTGCCGGCAGAGCGACTCGAACGAGCTCTCCCGATACAAGGCCTCGTTCCGGGTCTCGAGCAGTGCACTGATCGGATTGATCGCCGCATTGACGGTCAGCTTGATCAGCGCTGAGGTTTGGAAGTCGCCCATCGGAAGCCATTTGGTGTTCAACTCCTTGACCATCAATGGGTTCAATAAACTGGAGAGCGTGTAGTGAAGCGATCGGGTTTCTGGCTCAATGTCCGGTAAATGCTCCTCCAAAACCGGCTTCGTGCGCGAGTGTGGATTCAGGAGTGGATTGTCATCTTGCAGGCTTTGGCTGTCGTCGTTGCTCGAAGGTTGATTGCTATGTCCTCTGAGTCGCTCGAGACAGTTTCTGATTGTTGTATTGGGTAGTACACCCAGCCTGATATCACCCAGCCCGGCGTGACAGAACCGGCCATGCGAGCCAGCTTGGGTACCTGGCAGACCTTTGTCGATTCGGTAGACACCATGTGAAGTGGTAGCGAGTACGAAAGTGGGGCGTGAGCTGGGTTCCTGGAAGCAGGTTTCGATCAATTCCTCGACGACCCCTAATCCATTGTGCAAGAGTAAGACGGTCGAGTTAGCGGACAAGCGATGCCGGACGCGTTGTAATGATTCGAGCACATGTGGCGCTTTGGTAGTCACGATCAGGCTTTCGATGGGCTGCTGTTGCTGCTTGTTCAGGAACTCATAAGTGAAACCGGTGGCCGTCCGTGTACGATCTTGCTGCTCTAATTGGATCGAGAGTGTTGGGATAGAGCGTCGATGCTGGGCTTGGCGAGAACGGAGGAGCAGCGTGATTGGGGTGATGGATTGGAGGTGAAAGCAGAGCAAGGAGCCGATCGATCCAGCTGAAAATTTATCAGGCAACGGGTCCTTCATCAGTTACCATCCTGGCTAATTGTTGATGGTTAGTTTAAGTGCTCACGTCCGATACAATGTATTCGCATCTCCACCAATAATTAACGAACGGTCCACTTCGATCAGGCGTATCCACCACTTCGACGATCAGCGCATTCAAGGGGAGCAATCGGAACCCGGATGAGAATGTATTTTTCCTGTGTGGTTGCTGATCGAGTTGGTTGTCTGTGGTGGTCGGTTGATGACATCTTCGCTGGATTGGCCGTCGACCATTGCCAAGCCCAACAAACCCACACCAACCAACCGACCTCCTCACCAAGCACTCCCCCCGTAGTATTCCGGGGAGCGGGGGCGGGGCAGGCCTCACTTGAACCACAGCTCCACAGTTCAACAGGAGCTCTGCATATGTGGCTCAGATCAACACTTGGCCAAACAATGGCTCGGTGGATGTATTTCATTCTTCATTTTTGGATATGTAAACAGCTTAAGAAACTTGAAAAGAAGCTCAAGAAGGTGAAATATTCGGACTACATGCTTATACGAACGTCAAAGGGATGAAACTACAGATGATTCAAGCTTTGAAATAAAGGATATTAAAAATGGAAGGACTATGATAATCTAATCAAATAAGAAAAAAAAAAAAGTTAACCAAGAGAGAAAGAGAGTGAAAAAGTTAGCATTCGGCCCACAGGACCGGTAAGATGGTAACACAAGCAGTCCACAAGATTTGAAACATCTTATTAATCTGCACGCCGTTTTGTTGAGTGAAGATCCAAATCGCATAGAAGGCGACCGAGAAGAAGTGGTAGAATAGGAGTAAGGGTGACGGGATCAAGGCCGACAGAAGTGAGATTGGGTCCGATACCCTTTTGCCCCCTAGTTCAAAATATTTAAAGCATCCTTCTTTTAAGATCTCTAGATTATCATCTGTTAACAACAAAGCATGTTATGGATGTTGTTAGTGAAAAATTGCGATTGAAAATGAGGATCAGAGGGGATAATCTTACCTTCTGCTCCAAATAGACTATAGAGTGCTTGAGCAAGCACGTTGATACAGGTCGAGGTACTCTTTCGCTGTTGATGCCAGATTGCTAATCGGTCTTCGATTGCCTTCCAATCTTCAAAGTCATCCAAGTCGCCGAGCAAGTTGCTGATGATCTCGACATCCAAGAGAGCCACCGTCATCCCCCCTCCAGTCAGTGGATGTCGCATATTCATCGAGTCTCCCATCAGGATCACTCCCCCATGTCCCTCCTGACGATGCGGAGGAAGATATGAGTTGGGCATGACCCGCAATCGATCGGCTGGATCGTTCGAGTCTAGGGTCGCATGAAACGTCTCGAGCAAGCTGCGAGGTAGGATCGGTCCGACTTGTCTCTCAAGGTAAGACTGTGGGAATAGTGATGTCTCGATCAATCAATCACTTTTGGTATCTCACGATGCGAAGAGGGGTCTGACGAGCATTCGAGTTGAAATACTGACATGTAGACTTCCGTTGCTAATACTCGGCACCTTGGCCCCCGGGACGTCGACCAACATTCGAGTTTCTCCGGTACCGATTTGATAGACAAGGACCGGCCCGACCCCTAGTTCACCATCGACTACAGGCTGATCAGCAGCCGGATCTTTCTTCCTCAGAATCACATGTCCATGTCCAGGCAGAGGAATGCAATCGAATGGGGCAGGTGTTTGGAGGAGTAGGCCGACAAAATGTGAGCGGACTGTCGGTTGTTTGAATCCGTCTGGGGCAATGATTCGTCGGAACTTGGAGAAACAACCATCCATGATAAAGTTGATAGGTGCAAAAAAGGAAACGGTTTCTTCCTCCGCGGACTTGACGGTGACGCCGATAACATGATCGGTTTTTGGACATCGGATTAAGTCAGTGACGGTAGCCTGTAAGACGGTGACGGTTGGACGACTGTGAGCCTTCCATCTGAGTCGTTGGACGAATCTGCCATGATGGAAGCTTCTGCCTTGCTGTCTAGGGGCTTGACCCTTAGGAGATTTGCCGTTCCAAAGCGCGCCATCCTTCCAGGCCATAGGCACCGATTCAGGAGGATAGGGCAGGGCGAGTTGAGTGATCTGGGATGCATCGGTGCCCCAATAGACCCCATATCCGTTCACTTCCACCGCCTCGATCTCATCCAAACAGTCCCGTAAGCCTAACCGCTTGACAGCAAGACATCCACCTGGTTGGAGAAGCTCGCCGACGATCCGGTCCGGCTGACGAAGGTCACGCTCGATCAAAAGTACCGATGGAATGCTCTTCCCAGTTCTGTTTCGGGATGGGTCCGTTAAAGCAAAGGCTAGGGCACTACCAGCGATCCCGGCCCCCACGATTATCGCATCGTACGATTTGAGAACAGCTTGCTAGACCACATCGAGCAAAGTATAGATCAGTCAACCAGCCTCAGACAAAATAACAAGAATACAGAAATGTGGAAAATGACAGGCTTACTGAAATTGAAGCGGATGGGACGGTGGTGTATGACTCTGGGTGAAGCATGGAGGCTGGATGACCCGATAGACGATGTTCTTGATTCTTGATGAGATGAGCTTGATCACAGATAAATGGGTGTCAAGATGGTTGGGTCGAAGCAACTTGTTCTCTGACTGTTCGGTGCGACGGAATTTTACACAGCCTTTTTATATGTCATTGTTTCGGGTGCTTTCGGGTCATATTCCCCTTCCCCGATCGGGGACAATCAGACTTTCTCCGCTTCTTGCAAAAAAATTAACAAGTTTTCCGATCGATCTTCTGCCTTTGATCCTGAATCTCCTCGGTCTTGAAAAGATGCTTCAGCCGTCAACATCGAGTTGAAGATGTTGCGGTGACTACATAAGGGCAGATCGATCGGGTTGCAGAAGTTCAGAACTGCTAGATCAGTCCCCAAATGAGAAGGAACTATAGAAACATAACCTAGGGTGTCATTGATCACACAATGATGCAGAGAAACATTGTCAAAGGAGGCTTATAAGATCAACGAAATCTATGAAAAAAACTAGCTGAGAGCCCTGTCTGTAAAGCTCAAGTCTCAAGCTCTCCACATGGAAATTATATCAACTGCCTATGGACCCCTATAATGGTCACGTTGACGCTCCTCTCATGGGCAAGAACAGCTGAAGATCTGGTGCCACAGTAGCTCGGGCTGGTTCATCTTCTTTTCGTCGCTTGGAAATGATCTGGGAACTCAAATAACGACTTTCCCCCCTCATGAGATCCAACCTTCCGGCCAGATTCCTTCGAATGTAGAAAAACATGCGCTTCTCGACAATAAGAGGAGGGGAATGACATTCCCAAGAGACAAAACACAAACCCCAGGTTGTGTGGAGATGTGTCTTTTATATGTTTTTCTTCTCTCCTAATGCATTTCAATATCCCAGAAACATGCGACTGGGTTATAGGAAACATAGAAGAGAAGAAGAAAATCTGTAGGCAAGAAAACAGAAAAAGCAAGCGATTGCTGATACCGATATGAGACATTGCGGTTTGAATGGGCGGCCTTTATAAGAAAAGCGTCGTGGAAATAAAAGAAATGTAAAATATAAAGGATTCGTGAGAAGAGTGAATTCATGCAAAAGAATTATCCAGAGATAGTGACTTCTTTCGATGGAAAAGAGGGAATATAGAGATGAGAATGGATAATATAAGATAAAGAAATAAATAGAGTATATGAAAGAGAGGAAAAAGCAGACATATGATAGAAATCACCCAAGAATTGAAACGAAAAGATTATATGGAAACTTAATGCGTAACCAATTGATGAGTTCGTTGGTGGCAAAAACTCAAACTCAGAGTGTTGAAATTTTAAAACTTAGGCACGCAAGAGGTGGAGGGCCAAAAAATGAGGATCTTATTTTTTGGGAACGGTTCACGGAAAAAGAGTGTAAGAACCGATGAGTTTTCATTCACAAGTAAAAAGCCAGGTTTAAATAGACTAGATACAAGTGTCAGAAATGTGGTTGAGTTTAATTTGAATAAAAAAGAATATTGAATAAAAGACTGAGAGGAAGAAACATGAGTCTTGGAAGAAACAAACCGTACAAAACTTCTCAGTCTCTTTTAGTCAAGCCGGATGAGTTAATCAAGAAAGATTCCGAAATGAATCATGTATTTCTCCCCATATTGTTCCTCCAAGAATTTCCTCTCTGGTGTTTTGGACCATGGGAGTGCATTGTAGTAAGGATGTGGATACATGACTTTATAAAGAATTTTTGCCATGTAGTAAAATTTCTCAACCGCAAGATCCTCATCCCAATCTTCTTCTTCCAATCCTAGAATCAAAACAACTGTCAAGACCCTATTCAAGCTAAGTCCATTACTATCCAACGCTTTTCTGAAATCTTTAGATTCAATCAGTTTCATGTAGTTACTATTTGATATGAATTCTGAAAACTCATGTGGTGGAAAATGAACCCTAGGAGAGGATCTTTGTGTGTACTGCTGAAAGCCAAGAATACTTGCAAATGTCTTGAATTTGGTATCATGCTTTGAAGGCTCTGATGCATACAGTGGGTCAGTGTGAACATAAAATCCACTTAATTCCTTCTTCATTTTGGGTTCAAGATTTGGCTCATCGTTAAGCCCATGGAAACCAAACAAATCAAACCCTCTTTCATATTCAATAGCTCGAGAATCCACAAGGATACCAGGTGATAATTTTATTGAATTGTAAAACTTCTTTTTCAAATTTTCCATTATCATTTGTGCCAACTGCTTTGAAAGAGTCAAGATTCTTCTGTAGGCCTCTCTTTCATCCAATTCCTGACACATGCAATCATAAATTTTGATCATCGTCTCAATTGCCTTTTCCTTAGTTTTATTTTTGGCTGTAAAAAATAAAATCATTTTGAATAATCCGATTTCCATTTTTTCAAGTTTGATATTTTCAATCTCTTTATCTTTGATTCTCAAGTGATGTGAAAGATAGTTCATGAAATCCAGGTCAAGTTGATAACTTGTCCATAATCTAACTGGTTTTTTCTTCCAAATTTGATTGATTGTTTTTACATCTTGGATTAGGAATTTATAGCTAGTGAAGATCTGTTTTTTGGAATCCAAACGTTTGATCATCTCTTGAAGATCAACATTCTCACCAGCTTCAGATTCACCAAAAACCCTGGCAAATAAAAGGGAATAAATTTGACGAATTGAATGTTTTAAATTCTCAATTGATTTTGCTTTTGAGCCTGAATTGGATGTTTCATCAATGACAATCCTATTCTCATACTTTTCCTACAATTTTTGGTTAGAAAAGAGCCAATCAGTTTCAAGTAGAAGCTATTTCAAAAAAAATACAAAAAACACTTGCCATGTGTTTTTCCAATAATTGTGAAATGGTAGAAGGACTCATGCTTTCATTCTGATTCAATATACTATTTCCAATGTGATTTGTGTTAATATAGAATGTGGTGTATTTCTGTGATAATAGGGAGATACCACTTACTTATTGGCTTGAATTTTTGCTGCTTCCTCAACTTTATATTCTGGGCCATTTGATTCCACTTCTTTTCCAGAATTCAATATTTCTCTCTCTGTGCTATGCTCCATCTGTTCAGGCATCTTCTTCTTTTTAAGATGCTTCTTTTTATTTTTATTGCTTTGTTTTTCAACATTAATTTTCATCAAAATTATGTTGAAAAGGATTTAATGTTATTAATGAATTTCCCCAGTCAATTTTTGATTGAGAGCAACAAATTCAGCCTGTTCTCACCTTACTGTTTGCACCGATGTGTTCTTGTGTTTATCTTCAAAATTGGCTGAAAGCTTCCCTTCTCTGTGGGTTCAAAATATTCCAAGCAAGTTCAGTTAATTTTCTTGCAATTATACTGGTAGAAATTTCAACAACTCACATGTTTTGTTTCCCAATTGGTTTTTCTCCCATTTCCTCTTGAAGTGGATAATGATCAATTGAACAGTCACTTTGTAACTTTTGGTGAAGTTTGTCTTTCATATTCTCACTTGAATCAAATTTATCCATTTTTGGTATGGCAATTTTATCACCCAATTCATTTTCACCAATTTCCTATTTTGATTTTTACCCAGTTCAATCAGATAAGGACAGGAGAACTTTGGATCAAAAAAAATGAATGAAATAAACCATGCCTTTTTTGCCTGAAACAGATCTGCTGTTGAAATGACTTCTTTACCCTGTCCTTTTTCATTAAAATTTGTTTCACTTTGTCTACAGGTTGTTTTTAATCAGTGGGGTTGGTGAAATTTTGAAGAGAGAGAAATCACTCACTTGGTTAATGATTTCTTGTTTTCTATCTCTTCTCTTTCAGTTCTTTGCTTATTTCCATTCAAGTCTTTTTCAAAACGTGCAACACGTGAATGAGGAGGCAACCTGACCCTTTTCTTCTGTTTCTTTCTGTTAATCCCACCATAAATTTGTGATTTTTTTTTCCAAAAACCAAACCATGAATGATTTAAATCAAGCAATAGCCAAAAATTCAGTCCACCTGAATCAATGCAAGAAATGAGATTGATGAAGGGAGATATCTGACATTTGCCAATTAGATTTGGATTTTGTTTCATTTTCCTTTCTTGATATGCCTAAAGAGCTTAATTTCCTAGAATAAGAAATTTTTGCAACAGAAATGAACTTAGCTTCATTGTATTAGAGTGAATTTTGGCTGACTCACTCAGTTTTCATCTCTTCTTCTTTCTCTCCTTTCTCTTCCGCAGGTCTAGAATTTCCAGTTTCATGTTTTCCATTATCTCCTCCTTCCGCTACATTCTTTGGGTTAGTTTCCTTGGAATCGGATTCCACTCCTGGGCTCTTCCAATCAGATGAAATTACATTAAAATTCTTTGATTCTGTTTGGTTATCCATGTGCAAGTTTTCAATCTCTTCATCAGTTTTTCTTTTATCAGAATTTGCAATATGTTGAATCTCTGGGAGCTCCTTTGGCTTTTTAGACAGACTCCTGTTCAGGATTATGTCTTTACCAGTTGCTGAGTTTATATTCTCTTGATCTTGATCAATTTTCTTTTCCTGTAATTGAGTGTAATTTGGCTGATACTCATGGGATGCAATTCTTTCAGATTCCTTCTCATTATTGTCGGAATTTTCATTTTTCTTCGGTTCATGCTTGTGGTTTCTGTTGGAACCATTCTCCTTTTTAAGTATTTGGATCGACTTTCCTGGCACTAATTGGTTGACTGTTTTGGGCTTAGTTAATTTTCCCAGATCAGTTGAAGGCGGTGACCTGGAAATTGGCTGCTTTTTCGAGTTTTCAATCCCTTCAGCTGATGCTACTCCAGAGCTTTTAGTCGTTCCCGTATCCCTGGACTCGGAGGTTGTCGGAGAAGCTGATTGCCCCTTGGCCTTTTTTGTGGTAGAGGGAGAGTCAACCGGGCCTTGAGTTTGAAGTGAAGTTAAACCCACCGATTCTTGAGTTGGGGCTTCACTCTGTGTTTTGATATCAGCTTCTTTCAGTTGCGCACTCCTAGACCCGTCTTCTGCTGGAAGCTCCGAATAGGTTAAATGTTTCTTTGGGCTCTCACCCCCTGAAGCTCCTTGGCTCGACTCTCCTTTCTCTTTCCTAGCCTCCGAGTAGAACGTTTGACCTCTTGGATGATAAACCGAAGTGCCCGTGGGCTGCCTTGGAGGGTTACCATGTGGTGTTGTGGGCACAAAAAATGGCTGGATTGTTGATCCATGTCTCAGCTGATGGTTCAACTGAGTGCCAGGAATAGAAATAGGTTGAGCTGTTTGAAGAGGTCCTATCTGGTGAGCCGACGGATACCCAAATCTCGCCACTGGAACTTGCGGATATCTAACCACAGGCACCGGGTATCCACTTACAGTCACAGGAACTGGTCGATGTCCAACTCCAGCCACCGGAACTGGGTGAACTGAATGATAGTTTGCACCTATTCCACTGGGCTCATGGCTTGCCTGAGGCACGATGCTATTATAGGTCGTTCCCGTCAATTGCACAGTTGGGTAATTTTCGGAAAGACCAACAGGAGCGTAAGCTATCCATCCTGAGTGCCCTGGCACGGTCTGCGGATAAATTGCTGGTTGCCCATACCCCAACAGGGGTGCAGGACCAAGTATCGGTTGTGCCATCACAGGGAATGGTGCCGGGTGGCCTATTACGAATGGCGGATCACGATATGGTTGGGGTACCAGCTCGTTTGGTCTGAAGCTGCCTAGCACAGTCAACGGGCGATTATTCAAGTTCATCATTAGGCCAATCCCAATCGAGATGGCTAAGGCTTGCGGCACATCTTGAAGCGAGTACTTCATTGCTCGCAATGATTTAGTTTTGACGGGTAAGTAGTTATATGCTTTCGGCCGGAAGGTACTTATTTGTTATCGACTGTTAGATATAAGTAGTTACTTGTTTTTGACTGACAAGCCCTTGCTCATTTTCGACTGTAAGAATCTAGGTGGACAGCAATCGATAGGGATAAAATCCTAACGATGTTTTATAATAGACCTGATCAGCCCAACTAACTGCGCGATGGCACCACGTGGAGGACCAATGGCCAGCGCTGCCTGCCGTCGCGGCGAGGTGAATGAAACCGTTCCATTGACTTCTTCACGGACAAAATACGTACTCAACAACAAGAGCTTTCAAAATATATTTCTTTCCTTATGTCAAGGCAAAAATCACTTCAGAGGTCGCGACTATGTAGTAGAAGTGGTAACTGGTTACAGATTCGGTGAAGTACAATATGCCGTTGTGTTGCAGCAAACTCTGCTACAACAGGCGATGGGTGAGACCGTGTCATCCATCGGTGTGCCATCCTCATACGTGTTTTTAAAATGAGATTTCACAATTGTATTCCATACCCGGCCAAGGAAAACCTCACTTCAGAAGTTCTGACGTTATACACAGTTGGTGAGATGAACTTATTTATGTTAATTATATGGTGGTACCAACTTGTATGTACGCGCACTACCAGTATAATAGTGCACAATGAACATAACCTCATTTAACACAAGTCCCCCTGGTGTGAGGCTTTCTGTGTATCACTAGCAGTAGGAATGTTGGCAAAGCTGCTCCTCTCACAGGAACGGACTTGTGGATAAAGTCACTTTCTGAGTGGTGGCAGAAAGTGAAATTTGCAGGCTGGGAGCCTATTTGATTTCTTGATAGCTCAGCAATCCCCTGGTTATGACTCACCATTTGAGGAATCATGATCACATTCTCTTAATTTAGAACTAAAACATAATTGGCCCAACATCCTATACTGGTTGCTCTGGCAGCTTCAGCATCGCAATTCACAATATAGTGAATTCTGAATAGAATTCAAACCCTCTAAAAACCACATGAATTCTACCTTTTATTTCCCTGCACATGTGATGTATTGATTTATTAGGGGCTCACCTTATTTCTGTTTCAATTCTTGCTTTCTAACTCATTACTCAAAGATTATTGTCATTAACTCTCAACACAATATAATCATTCCAACAGAATCTCCCAGTCACACAATAGTATCTGTATGCCACTCTCATCTAGTCAAAATAAAAACTTGTTAAGCAGACATAAGTTATCAATCTAGTCTCAAAGGATAGTCTCACAAGTGCCAGACTTGGTTTTTATTCACTCAAAATCAACCACATGTTGCAAAACCTGGTAATTAGGCTATTTAAATCCACTCTTTACCAGAGAAATTGACAATTGGTGCTCCTCTTCATTTTATTTGGACAGAAAAAATTCCTTCTATGGGGCCTATGACAATTGGCAAATCTGGTTGACAGCTGCTGTACCAGCTTGCTGAAAGATTTGGCCACATTGATCAATTTAAATTTGCCATCATGTGGGTCCAGCTTCAGAATCCTGTGTGTGGCAAAAAATTGACATCTGCTGATTCTAATCAATTTGAAAAGTGTTTGGGCATCAATAGCTGCTAGTGAGTGAAGTTGTGAACCTAGGATGAAGGTGGATACAATACCCTGATAAGCGGGTGAAACATGTAATAGACAGGGGATATGGATATATAGGCATCAGTGGTCCACAAGCAAATGATTAAGGGCCTGTACCACAGCCCCAATTTTCAGTTCAATTTACAATTTCCAGGTTGGAAATTGACTCCACCAGAAATGGTGCACCATGCACACTCAATTTCCCACAGTACAGCAGCCTGATTTTCAGTGCCAACCCCAAAATGAATTTTGGTTAGTGAAAAATAAAAAGATCAAAAATGAAAATCAAAATTGGCTGGGGTGCTATGGTACAGGCCCTAATATGTAAAGCCCCCCATAGTTCATGGGATGCACACCTTGAAAAGTCACAGATTACGTAAGCTTGAATGTTCCTAACCTTTTATCCTGACTGACCAGCACTTCCTAGCTCAGTGAAGATATCTGATGTACTACTCTCTGAGCTAAGTGAGCACTCCCCACACTGCCAACATAATTGGCTAGGTTGAGGCAACGGTGCCACAGAGACGATACGATACGGTATCAGGCGTTTATCTGTATCGTCTCAGAATTTGAATACCCAAAAATACCGGATTTGTGTTGTCTCACTTTCCTGAGACATATACATGTATCGTATTTGAAAAGTGAGAAATGTATTCTGTATCGTCTCAGATGACTGATCCCACCAAAACCGTATTTGATACTTGAGATATTTGGCCGTATTGAAGAAAAAACGAAAAAAAACGAAGACAAATTTTTTTTTTCATTTTTAAATCCAAATCTAATACAATGTATTTTTTCACCAACCAAGGAAATACTGATACCGGTATCAGGCTCAAAATAAATACGATACGATCCGATACGAATACATGTCTCGTATCTGTGGCACCGTTGGTTGAGGTTTTAAGCTGGGATACCCCCAACCTGGCCAATTATGCTTCCAGTGTAATTTCCATCTTCATCTATATATTTCTTCCCTTTTATTTCTCTTCCTTTTTCCTCCTTAGTTGTAAAGAGGAGAGATACCTGATGTACTAATCTCTGAGCTAGCTTTTGAATACAATAAAAATATGGTTTGGTTTGGAAATTCTCTCCAAGACACATGTCTTGTATGTATGTACAGAACAGTGAAGATCTTCCAGGAAGTAGAACCATAAGTTTACAAAATATATTGCCAAGAGCTCAACAGATATTATTGATGGGAAATTGAACCCAGAAATTGGTCTTTGGTAAGACCAGGTTGAAGACAATCTGTGGCAAAGCCTTAGATACATAATCCAAAGATTTACATATTCAGTGAAATTGGATTCCAAATTTGTCAACTGATTCTGAAAAGTGTTCCAGGATTGAAACCTGGAATTATAAGTATCAAATTAATTTATGATGCCTCTAAATCATCATCACTCAAATTTAGAATGAGAAATATTTTGATTTTCAAATCAATGAATACTTAGGACTGAGGCATGATAAAGGTGTAAGACAAGAAGGAAATTTATTATTGAGAAAGAAGGTGTTTATAGTTGTTCCAATTGATTGATCCTTCAATGAATGTCTCAAAGATGAGAATACCTTGGATCACAACCGGATTCAATTTTCATAGGAAGTCAAAAGTAAAAGAGGTAAGTGGCAATGAAGAAAGTGATTCAAGCAAAAATGAATGATAGCAAAGAATTGATTTCAGCATAAAAGAAATGACAGATGTGATATATGATAGGATTGGAGTAATTCAATAAATCAGATGGAAGAGAAATCAAAAATTGAACAAGAAATATGGTTTATAAAAGAGTTGTATGATAAAAATTTCAAATGACCAACAAAAAATGTATATTTATAATGCTAAGAGTCTTGAAGTATTTAGAAACATAGCTTAATTCAAGTATCCCTCTAAATTTTTGAGGTTGTCAAAAAGCTGCAAGGGTGACATCTCATCCAGATCTTTCAATTCTTCTATGAATATTCTGCGTTTGAATATTGAATCTGCCAACTTGTAATGAGCATGTGTTGGTATATCTGATTTTGTTTCTTTCAAAGCCTGCTCTAAAGCATTAATGTTTGGTGGATAAGATGCTTTGGGTGATTCTCTGGCTTTGTGTTCTGGAATTTCTCTCAATTTTGAGAGGAAAACTCTGAACTGAAAAATATATTTGCCTTTATAATGGTTTTGCAAGAATTTTCTTTCTGATGTATGAAGCCATTCTAGGAAATTATAAGATTGGGGAGACATTATTTTAAAAATAACCTTAGCCATGTAGTAAAAATCCTCTCCCTTAACTTCCAGGTTCATATTTCCTTCTTCCAGTTGCAGAATCAAAACGATTGTCAAAATTCTATTCAAGCTGACTCCATTTCCATCCAGTGCTAAAATAAAATCCTCAGATTTAATAAGGTTCATGTAATTACTTTCTGAAATGAAATGTGAGATATCTCCATCTGGTGGGAAATGGATTCTTGGAGAGGCTCTATCCATGTATGCATAATCACTTATTATATCATGAAAAACCATATGCTTTGTATAATATAGAGCAGTTTCAGGTTCTGAGAAGTTATTATCAATTGAGACATAAAAATTGAATGGCTCCTTGCTGATTTCAAATTTGTGTTGATGTTCTTTCTCATCTCTTTTATTACATTCTCCTTCATCTTTGAGACCATAATATCCAAAAAAATCAAATGTTCTTTCATACTCACCAGCTTGAGCATTGTCAAACATATGAGTTGGTGTTCCTATTGAATTTTGAATTTTTGGTTTTAAATTTTGAATTTGTATCTGGGAAAACTGCTTAGAAAGTGTCAACATTCTTCTGTAGGCTTCTCTTTCATTCAAAATTGAAATCAAAACAAGATAAATGTTATTCATCATAAATGTATATTTTCTATTTTCATTCTCAAAAAAGATGATCATCTTGAATAGTTCTGGTTTCATATTCTCAAGTCTAATGTGCTCTTGGGTAGAATCAATTTTCAAGTGATTTGAGATATGATGCATGAATCCATGGTCAAGGTTTTGTGTATTCCATATTCTGAGAATTTGTCTAGTCCATTTTTGTTTAATGATTTCTTTTCTTTGACTTTTAAAATCATCAGTGAAAAGAACACTACTTGATTTCAAATTTGCTATGACATTGTGAAGATTAATGTCATGGCCAATATTTTCATCACCAAAGACCCTTGGGAATAACTGTGTATAAAATATAGCCTGAAGAGAAGTTTTCAAAGATTTGATTCGGTTGAATTTTTCTACTGGAAGAGAATTGTATGGATTTCCAGGTCCATTTTCATTGTTTGCCTACATTAATATGTTTTAGAGATATTGAAAATGGTGAAAAAATAAGCTGCAAGAAAATAATTTAACTCCATGATACAAAAGACTTTCCTTTTGTTCCTCCAATGTGAACTTTGAGCTCAAAGGACCTCTGTTTTTATCCTCATCAATCATCCTAATTTATATCAAAGATTTAGGTCCTTTGAATCTTATTTTATTCATGAAAAAAGAGAAGGCTACTACTGACTTATTTGAAGTTTTCATTTTTTCATTTTTCTCCAACTCAGATATCTGGAAATTTCCATCCAGTGTTGCTTCAGAATTCTGATTTACTACATCCATGAAGTCTCTATGTGCATCCAATTTCTTCTTCTTCAATCTCTTCTTCTGGTTTTTGTTACTTTTTTTAAAGATATCAATTAATACAAATTATAACAAAATCACACATCAGTGGAAAATCACAAAAGTTGAAATGATTTGTGTTCACCTTACTGTTGTTGCTTTTTTCTCCAGCACTTCTGATTTGGAATCAATGGGGAACTTTCCTGCTCTATTTTTTTTTTTTTCAAAAATGATTCACAGATTTGGTCTCAGAATTCTGGATGACCAATAGTGATTTTCAACAACTCACATATTTTCTTTCCCAGAAACTTTATCTTCTATCTTCCCTTCAAGTGAATTTGGATGAATAAATGGAGAATCTTGATCTCCTGCATGCAATTTGACCTTATTCTTCTCATTTGAATCAATTTCACCCATGTTCAAACCAAGATAGCTGTTATTCACTTCACCCTTATTATTTGCCTGTTCCTTTTTTATCATTAAATTGAGTCAGTTCAGAAATAGTTAATTCACATAAAAAATAAATCAATAAAGAATGAAATAAGACTCGCATCCTCTTCCTGAGATATCCCAGTTTCTGGAAGAACCTCCTTCCCATGATCAGATTTCTCACCATCAATTTTTCTACTTTCCCTTTGTGTTTTTAGTAAGCTAGATCAGGTTCTCTAATAAAAAAAGGGAACAGTAAATCACTCACTCATTGATTGATTTGATTGTCCCTATATCTTCTTTCTTGGTCACTTTTTGGACCCCTTTTGATTTTTCCCCAGCACTACTGTTGACTGAATTGAAAGGAGTATTTGCCCTGTTTTTGTTCTTCTGCATTTTTTTCCTGATGCAATAACATATTTTGGAATGTTTTGTTTTTTTAAATTAAAATCATCTAGAAGAAAAAGAAAGACAAATGAATTACACACCTTTGCCATTTGGATAGCTTGGTATATCCTTCTTTTCCCACTTTTTCAAGAATCTTGCTTTTCCTGTAATCAAATTTTTTGGTAGGATATTACTATTAGGGACTCAAATTATTTTGCAATATTAGGTTATCCAAACAGAATCTTTGGACCACTGACTCAATTCCTATATCTTCTTCTCTTTCTTCTTTCTCTTCTGAGTTTTTAGAATCTTTTTGGTTCAAATTTGGTTGGTTTGAATTCAAATTCTTGTGTTCATTTTGGGAATCTGCTTTTGGACTTCCATTTTCTACATGAATATTTACCTTATCAGAAGTTGAAGGATCTTGAAATTCTGGTTTATTTACAATTTTTCCAGCCACCCAGCTAATTGCAATTGGCTGTTTATTCATATCTAAATTTATACTTTCTTGGCCTTTACTGTTAGCATCCTGAAATTGATCTTCATTGGAATTTGTATTGGATTTACTTTGACCCTTAAAACCATCACTTGCATTGTGAGCATCAGGATAATATTTAGATTCTGCCACATGTTGCTTTAGTTGTGTATTGCTTGAATGATGCTCAAGAATATGTTCATGGATATGTGTGTTTTGAGATTCTTTGACATCAAAAGTTTGATCCAATTCTTTTCCAGGATTTTGGATATTCTCCAATGGATGATTTTCATGGTTTTGATTGTTTACATCAGAATCAGTCTCTTCCTTCAGTACTTGGGCTGAATTTTCTGGAAATACATTAGTATCTGCCCTAGTCCCCATGATTTTCTCCATAGGATTAAAAGATAGTGCCAGTGGTCTAGTGGAGACTGCATGCTTGTTCAAGGTTGCAGTCTTTTCAGCTGATTCCACTTCAGAGACCTTATCAGTTCCTGGCTCTCTGGTGGTTGTAGATGAAGATGACATCCTCTCTGCATCTTTTGCAGTAGAGGAAGAGTCAACAAAATTTTGATCTTGAACAGAGAGAGATCCAGGCAATTCATGACAAGGTCCTTTACTTTCAGCCACCTTCAGATTTAAATTTCCAGAATCACCTTCCACTGGAAGCTTGGAATCGGTGAGAGCTATCTTTGGGCTCTTGCTTTTTGAAGCTTCACCCCTTGATTTTCCTTCCCCTTGTCTAGGTTCTGGGTAAAACCCATTATCCCCCTGGAGGGCTGCTGAAGCCCGCCTGGGTGGGTTACCATATGCTGCTGTTGGCAAAAAAGATGGGGCAACTTCCGATGTCCTTGTTCCCTGTCTCCACTGAGTTTGAGGGATAGGCATGTGCTGGGCCGCGTGAAGAGGTTCTGTGTGGTGGACTGGGATATAAGTAGGATACCCAAAAGCAACCACCGGAACTGGCACATATCCAACCACAGTCATTGGATATGCAACTCTAGCCTCAGGAAATGGAGGATGTGCAACTCCAGCTATCGGAACTGGTGGATATGCAACTTGAGCCACCGGAGCTGGTTGGAGTGGATGATAATCTTCTGCAATTCTTCTGGGCGCCCGTGTTTCTTGAGGTCTCAATCCTGGTGGCACAGGCCCTGGATGCAGTTCTGCTTGGCCCAGCACGGATGGTGGATGAATTCTCCGTTGTTCTATCACGGGCATTGCCGCTGGCTGGCCCGTTAAGTTTGGTGGACCATCATGTGGGGGGTGTACTTGCTCGGTTGGTCTTAAGTGCCCCAGGACAGTTGACGGAAAATTATTGAAATTTATGATAAGGCCAATCCCAATCGAGGTGGCCAAGATGTGCGGCACCTCTTGGCGCGGGCACTTCATCCTGGTAAGATTTGCTTGACTGTCAAGTGTTTTCTTTGTTTTTCACGAGTAATCAATCACTCATTTTTCACCGGATGAATTGAGTAGATGGACAGAGATGGATACTGATCTAATGTCAATCTGGTGACAGTGTTTTATGTGTGAAGCAAATCAGCCAAACTGCGCGATGATGCTACGTGGAGGATCAATTGCCAGCGCTACCTGCGGTCGCGTCGAAGTGAATGATCAAACACTTGCATCGACCTGATCTCGCCCTGAGCTTTTGAACTATATTTTTATGCCTGAAATCAAGAAAACCTCACTTCGGATGCCGTAACTTGCTTGAGCTTCGATTGTCAGTAAAGACCTGCCGATGTGATAAGGTCGCACTATATATCTTGTTGGCTGCGTAGGAACAGGCCGGGTAGGCCGCCGGCAAGCCGAATCATTGTACCATCATCATATTAAGAAAGACTCGGACCAAGGTGTTTCAACGCGCAGTGGTTATTATCAACGCAAGTCATACACCAGCCTCGAAGGACCTCTCCGGGTGGCATGGAAGAGGTCCTTCAGGCTTCAAGGGTGGGTTACACATGTTTTGCAACACGGTGTACATACGCTCAAGTGAGGAGACTTGCACATCGAACTGCGCACTTCCTTCCCGAGCTTTCCCGACCATTTGTCCGAAAATTCGGACCAAGCGAAAGAGGGCAATTTGTATGAGTAATGGATAGCATCTCCGCACATGGGCCAAATCCTAGATTGTCAAAGCCTCCGAAGAGGGGTGCTATCCCCACAGGATGTTGCCCGTGTTGCAAGCGAGCGCAGTCGGCGCAATGCGACAGGCGAGCCGTGGGCGCTCATGGAACAGAAACGACATATTTTCGTGTTGAGATGCAACCGCAAAGTCCTGCCCGTGATGGCGAGCCAAGTTCACGTCTGCCGGAGAGGGACAGGGCCCTGGGTGGACTTTGTTGGCAAGTTACACTGCACTGTGCCACTGATCAGGGACTTTGAGTGCTCTTTGGATACACAACATAAGCGCCGTTCAAGCTTCACCGAGCTGCCCAAGGACGGCCCAGACCGCCCCAGACCTCCCAGACCGTAAACTAAGGATTGCTTACCAAGAAATCCAAATATCATTTTGAAAATCTGCAAACCAGATGGCTCGTTTGAGCTCATTTCGGCCTGGAAGTTGGAAGGATGTAAATCAAGAGAAGGCAAATAATACCTTGCTCATATTTATGTGCAGACCTATTTCTATATGTGTAAATAGATAAATATGTACATGGTCTCCTTTCTTAACATCATCATCTATCATCATATACCTATGTATATAGTGCAAGCACCCGGAGAAGTCTGCCTGAACCTGCCCTGAACCCCCTGGGGTATGCATCATTTGTAATAGGTTTCTGTTCTGTTCAACTTCTTGCCTCATCTCGAAGTAGTGCCAGTAGACTCTAGAGTCCTTCAATCCAACTTGCAACGTATCGAATTGACTCCTCGAATCCTTCCCATCATTTTATAGCACGAAATTAGCTTCTTGATGTTATTTCCTTGGGTAGCGAAGGCCAACATGATGCTACACTCGAGTCTTTTCACCAGTATCATAATCTCGGGTATCTTTTATCTTACCGTGTTCTCAGTTGGACATGCGTCTCCAATCCTTAATTCCGATCTTCGCGGGGCAAGATCAACATTGTCCCCCAGGGCTGGAACCGAGGCCAAAGAACCGGTCTTGATTCGTCGAAACCAAAGCGCACCTGGAAGCGAGAAAGATAGTGCGACGGGGACCAAGAAGTTATCGAAGACCAAACAACAGAGGAATGAGGCTCCCCTTTCGGATGTGATTCCCAAGGACCCCAACGGGTTCTTCCATCCAGCTTCGTTAAACCGATTCAAGTCCAGCATAGCTTCCTTCAAGGCTTGGCAACACCTCAACTTCTTACCCGATGCCGCCACACTCGCTCGAACCAAGGCTCAAGACGTGGCCTCAGAAATCGACTATTTCATCGATAAAATTTCCACTGAGCATCGCCCTGATAAACGGGAGGAGAAACCGTCCATGCCGCATTTGAAATCGTAAATTGGTGCGTTTGGTGGAACGATTCATTTGTCTTCTGGAGCTTTTTTTTATAGTAATTTCTTGATCTAATCTTTCAACAACATGCATGAACTGATAAGGATAAAACTTGGTTCATCTCTCCATCAGGTATTAACGGGCTCTTTGGAAGTCGTCGGAGCTTTAAGGATTCGTCTTACTTGGGCGTCCTTATAAGAAGTTAACAACTACAAAAACGAAAAATATCCTCTTCCCAGATTTCTAAGCCTGGACACTATCACTTTTGCTTAATTATAACACACTCAACGCTGAAATGACCAAAAGCGAAAGGCGACTGACACGGCTTAACATCTTGGTACTATAGTATCTCAAATACCTTATCGCAATGGCCCTCAATCTCGTGGTGTAAATTACTTTTTTCCATTTTTTTTGATACATAGCCTCACTGTGAATTTCCAAATCAGAATAGCTCTTCGGGCATCTCATATCCCTCTCCCTTTTTCAATTTTGAAACCTCCATTTTTTTGCTTGTTTGCTTGCTTAGCGCGTCACGATTGAGGGCGTTTTTCTTTCCCTTCTTGTGGCTGATGAGTCCGAGAGAGATATTATGAAAGTCCAATACAGTCCAACGTAGTTTTCAGCTATCGATTTTCAATTCCAGTTTTTGATTTGTTGTAGAGATTTCCCCGAGCCTAGTACATTGGCAAAAACATTTCACCATGTGCTACAACACCTTATGGTTGAACTTGCCCCGAGCTTTGATGATTGCTACAACATAGACACTCAACTCCCTAGACTCATAAACACGCAGCTTTCGGGAGTTTTCCTCCAACAACCACCGTAAGCTTGACAACAGAAACCAAGAATTAAAGATAGAAATCAATAAATCAATCATTGTTGTGGGCTAACTTGGACAGCAGATACATGTCCCCAGTTGGGGGTTTAGAAATTACGCCAATTGGTGACTGGTATTAAAATTTATTATTAGGAACTTCTTTATATCTTTGGACCATGATTCCAATAATAAGCTCTTTCAAGGGTTAAGGGGAATGTTTTAATAAAAAAAAATAAACTCCTTTATGTCACCTACCCAATTTAATCCATCCCTTCTGTGCTTCATAACCAGGAGTAGATCTAACCACGAGGGGTATGTCGACTCTTAATTTTGGCGAAGCTAATATGAAGGATGTTGCTTATTTATCAAAAAAGAAAATGAATACCAAGAAGCTCTCAAGAAAGTATACAAAGACATGAAATGAAAAGGGAAATGATTAAAGTGGTCTTTGTAACTACAAAAAATAGAAAGGCTAAAAGGTTACAGTAGGCTGGGCTCAGCCAATGGAGGCAAGAACAATGAGCTCAATTGACTCGAAACAAGTGAGTACATCACATCAAAACTCGTAAGAATTTTGAGGACAAGATTTCTGAAAATTGAAAAACCAGGAGTGTGTTGGGATTTCCAGAAAAACAGAAGAGATAAAATACTGGACCGCCAAGACAGCCCCGAGATGGGGTTCGGTGGGCGGAGGCCGGAGTTGAAGATTGAATATGCAACTGGCCAGTCTGATTACATAAGCCTGAGATTGGCTGAGGTGCTGGTGGATGTTAATAGCAACTGAAACACACCGAGCAGGAGGAAGACAACTCACAGAAGGCAGAGATGAAGACAACCAGCCCACAAGATATCCGACTCTGCGAACATATTCTCACCCAGTTGTACGGCCATGCATGTGGAGTAAGTCACTATAATAATCTTGAACTGGAAAAACAAGATCGCATGACCATATTATTAACTTGAACAAATATTTTCCCGACGTGAATCACTCCAGGAAATCGGTTCGATCTTGTTGAATCGTGGTCGCCTGCCGTTCTCCAGCCTTCTGCGAATGTCCTGTCTCACTGGCAATTCAATCCGAGCAGCATTGGTAGTTCTAATTCATCAAAAGTTGAGCTCGAGTTCTCTAATTTTTTTTTCTCATCCTCAATGACTATTTTGGTAAGAAATAGCAAATGATAATCAGTATCTTACTGAAATGAAATTTTACTTTGCAATGATGATCAGCTGTGTGCTTCATTCGGACACCTCATTACTTACCACTGCAGCTGGCGATCCAAATCCATCCTCTAGCGGCCCTGAGTATTTCGAGGCGATCCCCGATGAGATCTTGACTCGGGTACGCTTCGGTCAATTCGTCAACTTGGCCTACGAACAATTTGGGATCGAATCCAAATTGATCGTCGAATGTCTACTAGACAACGGCAAACTACGTGTCGGGCAACTGGTTACCATGGTCTGTGAACAATACTACTCTCAACGTAAACGGCTTGATGAGACCGACGATGGACTCCAACACTCGCCAGTCAAGAGTATGTGTTCTCAATTCCTTCCTTCTGCTCAATCGATCTTAATCCACTAGTCCACAACTAATTTGTTTTGTTGTCTATCCTTACCTCAACTGCTCTAGTGCCCCAAATTGTGAAATCGAACGTGCTGAATTTATTGGCAGAGAGATACCTCAAACCATCCCATCCTAAGCATTCTATCAATCCAACGGATCTGGAGCTAGCCTATGAAAAACGTGAATATGCTACATACTCTCAGTATTTCGAGCGGAACAAAGTATTGATATTTTTTTTTCTGTTCAAAGAACTAATCGCCAAATTGCCTGGGGTGCCGAGCCCAAAGGAGATCAAGGCAGTAAAGGAACAAGTTATGGACATGATGGCGACTGAGGAGACTCAAGCATTCGAAGAGATGTGCTCCTTCGGACAGGTCAGTCACCACCATTAACCCCGGTTTTTTGCGCGAAATGTAAAAAAAAAAACAATCCAAGTCTTCATTTTTTTGAAGTCACCGTTTGGCTTCCTCTTTAGTAGAAACAACGTGCCTCAAACAGCGCGCAGAATGATCGCAAGGCTCAAACTAAGAGACAAAAGACTGAGGACGTCTCATTGCAAGTCAGTCGTCTTTTAACCCTCCAAGATCAACTCTTGAGATTTTTTTTCTGCTTCTATCTAATCGGGTTTGACCCACAACGAATGATTCTCTTGTTGCCAGGATGACATGTACATCAGAGTGAATTATGCTCGGTTCAACATGAAGATCAGAAACTCCGTAAGTGCCTGTTTATCAACTACTCAACTCAGTCGAACAAGAGATGAAAAGAGCCACTGAAACAACTTTTCCCTGTGTCAATTGGGTTGGTGTAGATTTTCGAGCAAGAATGCTTTCGATCTTATAATCTAGAGGCTGGATTGGTGATGAGAGCAATGTTGATCCTAGCGGAAACAAAACAACAAGACCTTAACGATCTAGTTTCTGGTTGGTATCTTTTCGTCTTGTCGGGTGTGCGACATTTACTTGGTGCGAGGTCACTGATGAGTGGATTATACAGATCCCATATCGGCCCAAGCTATTGTGATGAAACTAGGTCAGCAGTCGAATATTGTCAAGACGTGTTTTCCGGCTCGGGCAGCGAACGGGCAGTTCAATCTGAAGCTCAAGAACACGGGTGATTTAGTGGCGGAGATGTTATCGGTGATGGGCAAACAGGACGACTTGGCGACCTCGACGAGTTCGGCGTTTGCACCTGGAAGTCTGAGCAAAGGACTAGCTCAATTAAACCCGTTAGCGGTCGTCTCTGAAAAGAAGAATAACGTCTTGGGTGGTGGGAGCGGGAGTGGAGGAATGAGAGAGTTTAAAGTTGAATATGCTAGGTATTCTCTTGAACTCAGAAAAGCTTTGGTCTCGAGAATCATTCGAGAAAAGTATGGGATCGAGGCTGCTAGAGTTGTAAGGATTCTGATGCATAAGGGTCGTCTGGATGAAAAACATGTAAGCATTCCCTAACCTTGCTCTCATCTGGGTGGATGATTCTGCAGCTCCATGTTTGATAAATTTTATGTCGAGGTGTTATTACTTATTGACATCGCCCTTGTCCCCAATAAGCTTGCCAAATTCGCTATGATGACCCTCAAAGACTCTCGAGAACTTTGTCTAAAACTCTCAGCGGGGAAGGTAATCGAATTGCAAGAAGTACCGAAGACGAATGACCGACAACCGAGTCGAACGTTCTATCTATTCTTCATTGACTTTCAGAAATTGATCCTGAATCTGACGATGATGATCAGAAAATCGCAGACAAACTTGATCATCAGGATCGATCAGGAACTAAAACAGAGGAAGAACTTGCTCTGCAAAGTCAATCGAACCGATGTGATCGAAGACCAGGACGGCTTGTTGACCGTGTGGGAACGCGCTGATCTCAAGAAATTGAAAACTTTGGTCCAAGTCTTGGAAGTCGCTAAACTTCGTCTAGAAAGAGATCTCTTCATCTTAAATGACTTGCCTTGGTTACAATAAATCTCCTCTTCACCTTACCACACCAATTGGTATTCTTCTGTTCAAATTCATTAGTTTTTTTTTTAAAAAAAAAAGAGTTTATGTCCTGCTTATCTTTTCTTTTCTTCATGGTCCAATCACATAGCAATACACATAAAACAAGTTCATAGATTTTTATTCATAAATAAGACAAGCTCACCCCCCCCCCCCCCTCCCTTCTCATCCCCAAACTTTACATTAAATATGCATACACTTATAAAGACATGCCGATCAACCACATTAGCTATGTCAATTATTGAGCCAACACAAGAAACAGAAAAAAAGAGCACCAGTTGATCATCTATAAATATGTAACTTGATACTATTGATGTGAATTCAGGTGATTTATTTAGTAGCATACATAACATCAAAGCAGGGAACTGTTGAACTGCACGAGAAAAAAATATTTCCGGGTGAATTGTGGAAGGAAGCCATATGTCCTTCTTGTTCTTACTTCCTTTTTTGGAGGAGTATGTAATTACATGATGGCATGCTAGTCTTCATAAAATACATGTATCTTGAAGTAAATAAACTATGTGGGTCTATGGGTGTATAAAGTTGGAGTAAGTGAAAATATGGTGTTTCATCATGACAACCTTGTGACAACACAAAAGTTGGCTGTTGCTGAATTTCAAGCTTGGAAGATCATAGTTTTTTTTCTGGGATTGATCCAAGGGTTTTATGATTATGCTGTAATTGTCTTACCCAAACAAAAATGCCATGCAACAATGAGAAATCAAGCAAAGGTATGTGGTGATTTGAGTGATAATATGTTTACTGGTAACCACCTAAGGATTATCGACTTCTTCAGGTGTTCTTGGCAAAACACCTTCTCCAATATCATGCACAACCTGGAAACTTTCAAATACATAAATGTTAGCAGATGTATCATCAGATTCAAATATCAATATTGAATCATCTCAATCATAACTCCAAACAATACTGCAGCTCTATCCACAAATCTTCCTTCTGAAAAACCAAAGGTGAAAATCATCATTTCATCAAGAGTGCAAACAGTAGTGATGATGAACTCAATTGTGAATTTATTTATGGTTTATGTTTAACCACAATTTTGAAATTGAAATTTTCAAGAAGCTTAGTGTTCAAGGGAGTGACTGTGCGATTCCACCTGTCAAAGCCATCTCCAGTACTTGTGTATACTTTTTTCATATTGATATCGAGCCACTCCTTACTTTTGAAGGATAGCCAAGCCCACCCTGGGCCACATGGTATGGCTTTAGGAAGCCATAATATGTATATAGGGAGCCATAATATGTATATAGGGAGCCATAATATGTATATAGGGGGCACAATATGCATTTAAAGAGCAGTTGAATTGTAAACACATACCCAAGTACATGCAGTTCCCCCATCCTCCTCCAAGATGGATTGATCAATTGAATCTTCTTTGTCAATTTAACTGGTAAAAGTGCTTCCCTCTTTCTTTGGAGCTTCTGGGAGCAAGAATCTTTGCCAATAACCATTGAATATACCGATTCTGGTTTCAAAATTGGAGTGAAAGAGACTTTTTCATGTCTTATTTTGTACAGAAGCCTCCAAGATCCCCGAGAAACCCCCCGGGATTGTGAAATTTTTTCAAATTTTCAAACCCAAAACTTTGGAACACCTTGGAGGGGGTGGTGGAGAGGCGGTGAGGGGCACTGTATATCCACAAATCTTCCTTCTGAAAAACCAAAGGTGAAAATCAACATTTTATCAAGAGTGCCTAGTGATGATGAACTAAATTGTGAATTCATTTCTGGTTTATGTTTAACCACAATTTTGAAATTGGTGTTTTCAAGAAGCTCAGTGTTCAAGGGAGTGACTGTGAGCTTCCACCTGTCATGTCTTCACAGCCATCTCCAGTACTTGTGCATGCTTTTTTTCATAATAATATTGGGTTGCTCCTTACTTTTGAAGGATAGCCAAGCCCATCCATACACTAAAACTTAACCTGACTGATCATGAGTAAAATTTTACAATGGTTTTTGGTTGTCTTCACCCTCCTTGCAAGTTGCCTTTAATTCAATTAATTTACCAAACCTTTTGCATCTAAGATGGCCTTAAGATACTTCTCTCAGGCCTCAAGATACTTCTCTCAAATATTGAAAATACCTGACCCCAATAGAACATATATGAAGAAGTCCTAAGCAGTCATTGTCCAATTGGACAGTCACATGAACCACATTTATATTTTTCACTTTACATACCATTCTATACATCTGGACTCAGTGCCCCAAACAGCTCACACTATGGCGACTCCAAAGCGGAGTTTTCAGGCTGGCAAGTAGGAGGTTTTCCAATTTCTCCCTCTGCAAGAGAAAGACATCTCACATATCTTTGGTTGAACATTTTCCACTGGAGAAGTGCTGGCGAGATTGAGTGAGGAAATGTCAACCCTCTTTGACAATCAGAATCTTACCCCTTCCGGGGTCTGGTAAGTGGCTTTGGTGAGGGCTCGCAACATACGAAATGAAGTTGAGGAAGATGAAATCAGCCAAATAACGGCGCTATTAGCGCCGTTATTGATAGGCGCCTCGGCCGGTGATATATGATTAATACTAGTAGCACATAATCCGTTTGTGGCTTCTATACGCACCTCTGGCTCATTTAATTCATGCATGTATTTCATGTAGTTTGGAAAGGTTTCTTATGAATTCTTTTTGGGGCTTGGTGGGCAAAGGTGGGCAAGACGAAGGTCATTCTAACTGCTGGGATGGCGGGCACATAAAGCGAGATGGAATCTGGGCAAGTGATCGGTCCTAGAACAGAATCGAAAATAACAAGCCGCCCATCATCACCAAACATACTCTTCGACGGACCCCGCCATGCGCTCTTTCGCTTCTATGCTGTCAACTGCCCTCGTCCTCGGAGTATTTGCCAGCCTGACCGCTAATGTTTCTGCGCTTTTATGCAACACTGGATACACTGCAACTTGTGATGGTCCGGGTAAGCTGGGCCACTGGCTACCTACATATCCGACACCTTCACAATTCATTCACCGCACTACGTATGGGTACGAGCTGACCTCCCTACTTCTATGTGATTTGAATCAAGATCAAACCGTTTATCATACCCCCGATGGAAGTGGGAACTTCTTCTGTAAAGGTGGGAGCAAGGCTGCCTGCTGTGCTGTGATTGCGGTGAGTGCACCTCTATCCACAAACTTCAACATCTTTGGTTGCTTGAATTCAGAAATGTTGACTAACATTCTGATCTCAATCTCGATTGTCTTCTACTAGACATGCTACCAATGCTATTATGATCTCGGAAATGGCATGGATAATCCTAAAATCATATCTTCTTGTTAGGGTCTCGTGGGTTATTTATGATAGCAATTGTAAAGGTTGTGTTAGTTAAGACCCAAACCTCAGCCATAGGTCTTACATACTTCTCTACCTCATCATATACATTATTGCCAAGTCTAAGATCAATTTTATAACTATAAGAATCCAGAAATATCTACACGTAACTTGAATTGCTGGGAAAACAGGTTGATCCCTATGAATCCTGTCCATCAAAGGTATCTTTGTTGAGCTTATAAGCAAGCCGAGATTTCCTGGAGATATGAGGAGGGGGAAAGCAGTATGGGGATAGGGTCTCACTGAAATGGTCCACATGACACATAATGAAGAGCAACTGATGGAAGTTTTTTATTTCATGCACTAGACTGGCTTCAAAATAAACTCAGGAGTACATATGGTCACACTGCGGTTGAGGAAACCACATAGTCAAATGTTGAAATGAAAAAAGATGGAAGTTGTAGAAAACAGAGGGCTTCAAGATGACAACAACAAAAATTTGCACGCAGGATACGTGGCAAGAGTAAGGACATCTGACTTCCATGACTAAGGTCCTAAGACTACAAAGCACCAGGCAATCATAGATGGCCTTCACGAGCTCAGACTCTAAAGAAGAGATGATTCAATCAGTGAAGCTACGGATTCAAGGAGTAAAATCTGGGAAAAGAAGGAAATGAAAAGGGGTTAAATAATAGCAAGAAAGGACCTTTTCACAAGCCTATGTACTCTAGCCATGCACTGGCCTGAAATTTTTCATGTTTATTTTTTTTCTCCCTCTCTTTTTTGGAACATTTTGCCAATTATTTGAATATTTGAAACTGAAGGATTGAGCTTTGTACATCAAGATACCTCAATTCTAGACAAGGAAAAAAAAAAAAACATAAAATCCCATTGCAGGCTGAAGTTCCTCAAGTGTTCCTATGGGCCAGAGTTTCAACTGCTGAAGAGCCACAAGAGCTTCATGGCTTCCTTTTGTTTTGTCGCTTGCTGATCGTGTTCCTCGGTGGCTGCAGTCTGCAGGAAGTCTATTTTTGACATGTTGCATACATCAGCTGCGCATGCTGTGCACTTACATATTTAGTAGCAGCTCACACATCTTGTTGGACTTCCCAAATACCCTCATCAGTCCGATCGACAGTGCAACCACACCAGACACCCCACCCAAGTCAAAAGATCTGAACGATGATGGCCAGCAAACAGGGTGGAGTCAAACTGATCACTGGTACGCTCTTCCACAATCACCCTCTATAAACTGATTAATCGCAAGATTCTGACTGGAGGTTCTGTATTTGTTCACTATGAATAACAGGTAACAGTCATCCTCAACTCGCACAGGCCGTTGCCCAAAGGTACTCTCCCTAAAAAATTTCATCACGGGACAGCAGGAGATGGATAATATTTTGTTGATGATGATGATGATGAATGCTGAATCGATCACCCACCATCCTTCCTGCTCCTCTACATCCATCCTACCAACAATCTTCCATTCACCCTTACCGCTCTTCAACCACCTTCGTCTTCGTCTTCGTCTCTTGCACGCTGGCTCTTCTCAAGAATGGGCATCTCCTTATGCGGTTGTAAGGTCAAGAAATTCTCCGACGGCGAAACTTCGGTCGCAATCGATGAATCTGTGAGAGAAGAGGGTTTGTCAATTTTCTCTACAAATTTCAGCTTTCTGGTCCTTTTCCAAAAATTATGACATATGTAAATCAATACAATTAAAACACTGATCTGAATCGGAATCTTTCCTGATGAACATAGATGTCTTCATCATTCAAACCGGTTTCAACCCTGGAGCTGGACCGGGAAGTCCATCGGATCCAAACGATCTACTGATGGTAAGTCCATATTTTCCCAGAACGTTTTTCTTTTTTTGATGGCAGAGGAAATAATTTCCTAAGTTTTGCTGATGATGATTTGGGAATTTGGACTTTTTTTTTTTTTTTTCAGGAACTGTTGATCTTAATTTCGGCATGTAAGACAGCCTCAGCGAAGCGGATCACCGCAGTGATCCCATGTTTCCCGTATTCAAGGATGGACAGGAAAGACCGATCCCGGGCGCCGATCACGGCCAAGCTAGTGGCCAACATGCTCCAAGCAGCCGGCTGCGACCATGTCATCACCATCGACCTGCACGCCTCGCAGATCCAGGGCTTCTTCGATATCCCCGTCGATAACCTTTGGATGGAACCCATCATGGCCAAATGGATCAGAGCTAACGTCGAGGATTGGAAGAATAGCATCATCGTCTCGCCCGACGCCGGGGGTGCTAAACGGTCAGTCACATCCCTCGCGCCGCTTCACAAAACAAAAAAGACACTCGCCGGATTATGCTGATTCAGCCTTGTGAACATCTGGGGGGAAATAGTGCGACGGCTTTGGCGGATAAATTGGATGTAGATTTCGCGTTGATCAACCGTAAACGAGCCCGGAAGGCCGGGGTACTTCGCCAGTCGATGAGTGGCCCGAACGGGCCGATGGAGCATTCCGAGCAAGTCGAGGAGAAGATGGAAATCCTGGTCGGAGATGTCCGAGGAAAAAACGCGATCTTACTCGACGACATGATCGATACCGGGGAGACTCTGACTCTGGCTGCTAAAGAGCTCGACCAAGCTGGGGCCAAGGCGGTCTATGCTATCGTCTCTCACGGTTCGTTCTCCCGTCTCCCGTCTCCACTTTTAAACATACATCCTATTCTATCTCTCTCTCTCTTTCTTTTGGAGGTTTGACGTGCTATTTGGATGGTACATATAGGACTGTTGTCTGGTGATGCGGTCTCCAAATTAGCCCATCTACCCGTCCTCAAATTGGTCGTCACTACTACCATCGACCAACGCTCTCACATCTCCGAATCGGCTGGGAAGCTGGAGACGATGGACATCAGTCCGGTGTTGGCTGAAAGTATCCGACGAGTTGAGTCTTTCTTTTGATTCTTCTCTAATCGCCTTGATCTCTCTCCCACTTGATTTTTGTCACTCATTTCGCGTTTTGTTCGCTTCCGTCCGCAAGACTCATAATGGAGAAAGTATCTCGATGCTCTTTTCTAATCCCTCTTGAGCTCGACCCTCTTTTTGTCTCCTATCTTCCTCCTTCATCAATACCACCGTTACCTCCACCTTTGTCCCTTTCTCATCCTTTTCAAAAGGTAACTTCATGGATCCATGATCATATGATATAGCAAGATAACATCCATTCTATAGCATTTTTATCCCATTCTCATTTATTTTTTTAGCCTGATTTATCATCCATAAGCACCCACATACTCACATAAACATAAATATATATATAGTTTTTTTTTTTGGTTCTTGTTACATATATATATATAGATAGATCATATTACCTCTTTCTGTCCCTCAAACCAAACAACAACAAGCACCAACCAGAAAAGCAATTGCATGAACCTCCCTTATACAACCTTTTCTTTTTTTTTTCTTCTCTTTTTTTGGTCGATCTTTATATAGAACGATGACAGCAGCTTATTTTTTTTTACAGAACAAGAAAACTCAAAAGATAATTTGCTTCGAGATAAAGATGTATGACGCATGTGTGTCCACAGAACTATCAACTCATTTTTCTGATCGTCCTCCAGTGTCTCCAATTAGTTTTTTTTCTTGATTGAGAGAGGTGATTGTGAGGGAACACTTATCAATCCCAATGTGAAAGATCTATCTGTCTGCTAGCTGAGTAGTGACAATGTGATGGCAATGTAGACTCTCATGAGTCATGTAAATATGTAATCTAGGTAATCTTACTAAAATTACTAGTTAGCCCTATACAAGTTTTTTGTCGGGGAAACCCGGAGAGCTGATGGACTAATCTCTTGGTATTATGTGTCCCTTTTCTATCATACAGAGTCTGTGTCCACTCTCCTCTCTGAGCCCCACAAACAAACTCAGTTTGAAAAACATTCAACCCTCCCACCACTAGAAATGTTTATAAACCTTGCACACATAAATACATAACTATTCACTCGGCCAAATGATTGTATTTGTTTAGATATTTTGCTTGAAGATCAGTTATATGCACGTGAGCCATGATGTTTAAACCCTTGATTATTTGTACCTCTGAGCCATGACTGAATTTATCAATACTTTTGTCTTGGATTGTGTTTTCTTATTAGAGTTGGCTGCAGTTTGTTAATGATTTCAAGCTGTTCCTTCCAGCTCCGATAGCATGATATGCACACTTTGTAGTATGTTTGACTGTGTATTAGAATATGATGAAGTGTTTGATCTGTTGTTTGAATCTTGAGGAGTTCTTTTTATGTGATGGATGATGATGTCAGTGAGTGGGCCCGAAGGGGGTTTGCGAGCTCAGTTGGTGATGTCACACTAGACCCCCCTCGTGGCTGTATGCTAGTCCTCCCCCGTGGGGTGCTCCCTCGATCACCCTCACCTCCAGCCAGCCAACTTCCAAGCACTCCACCTCCCAACACTCGACCCTCTTGACTCTTGACTCTTTAACTCTCTATCTCACTTTCCCCGATTACTACTACTACTACAACAACAACAAAAAACATAAGAAATACGACCGAGATCACGATCGAAGATAACGCTCAACATGCTTCCCTGGAATCCGACTCGCGAACTAGCAGCTCAGACTCAAAACTATCTACAGGCACTCGGTGGTGGGAATGCTGCTGGACAAGGAAATATTAACAATAATAATAACGAACATCAGCAGAATATCAACAACAACTATCAGAACAACCAGTTCAACCATCCACTCTATAATCATAATAACAACCCATCCCAACAACCATTCCAGGCTGGACTACAACAACAATCTCCTAACCAATCCCCTCAATCCTTAAACCCACCTCCACTACAACAACAACAACAGCAACATTACCAACAACAGCAACAGCAACACCAGCAGCAGCTTCATCATCATCAGCAACAACAACAACAACAACAGTTCCAACAGCAGAAGCATCAACAGTTTCAGCAACCCCAACCCCAACAACCCCAACAACAACAACAACAACAACAGCAGCAGCAGCAGCAACAACAACAACAACAAGCTCAGCAGCAACCAAACCATCCCTTACAGCCCAACATTGGACCTCCTCCTAATCAAAACCCTTCAGGAAATATCACCCTCCCACAGGTCTTACACTACCTCCAATCAACCCATCGTACTCATCTGAGCTTACAGAACAGCTGGGAGATCGAAAGAGCCGAACTCAGAGCTAGGGTGGCCCTACTCGAAGGCGAAAAGAGAAGCTGGGAGCAAGCCAAGACTGACCTGGCTAGGAGGGTCAGGATGCTCGAATGGGCTCTCAAGATGGAACGGTAAGTTTTTTTTTTTTGTAATCACCAACTTATATTTCTGGTATTGCAGAGAGACTGTCGATCTGAGTCCATTGTTTCCTTTTCCTTTAGGTCCAAGTATCTCTCACATAACCAAAACAAGGAAAACACAAACGCATTCACTATGGCCCTACCTCCCGGTAAATTGGCTGCTTTACGTATGGCTGAGAACGTCCCCTCAGGTTCCGAATCTCCGGCACGAGCCGATAGTCCCAAGTATGATGAACAAAACGCGGCTTCAACTGCTCGTACGTGTAACGTGACCATTCTTTTTTGTCAATTAGATCTCGTGGATTCTATGGACCGATCGAGCTGATACAATTCAATTTATTCTACAAATCCAGCTCGGCCGACTGCACCAGCGGTCACGGTTTCTGACGCCGCCAATCAAGACCAATCACCACCTCCTAACCCACCCACTAATCTACCTGCCCAAAGCTCAACCGCCCCCACGCATTCGATCTCGATCGCCCCACCTCTGCCTGCTGTCGCAGCACAAAACATGTTCCGAATGGGAACTAACGGAAATGGGAATACCTGGGCAAACGGTATGACGGGCGCTGGTATGGCAACGATGATGGGTGGCACCGGGATCGGCTTTGGGACAACAGCCATGGGCATCGGTAGGGATCCTAAAGCAAGGGCTAGGAGTAGAGACTATCTCAAACAGTTTGTCCTCATTCCAAATATCCCGTTTCCAAACTTTTGTCACGATCTACTGACCCATCTCTTTGTTTCGGCTCGAATCTCACTCGCAGGTGTTTGCAGGAGATCAACTATCTCACCTCCAACCCCGTCCTCAATCCACTCCCCCAACAATCTGCCTTAATCCCCGGGATCGAACGGCCGCGTAAGATCTTGAACGAAACTCAAGCCGCTCAACAAGGCGGACCAAACCATCCCAACCAAGCCAATACTAATCACTTCCAAGCTGCCTCCAACCTTCATCAGCCCGGCAACAACCAGCAAGCCAATCTATCACCCAACCCGATCCATCGACCATTGAACCATTCCGGGGCTCCCCAGGATCAATCCCAACGATCGGCCCTCTACCAGGTCTCGACAATCGATAATCAACACCAGCCCAATGTCTCATCATTCGCCCAACATTCTGGGGCTCCTCCCCCGGGATCTAACGTCCATCCGACGAACTCAGCCGTGCCTGGTGCACCAGTCATGACTCGCGCTCGCAGCTCCTCACGGCCTCTCTTGATCACACCGATGAACACTGACGGCAATGGATCTGGGATCCCAGCAAACTCTTCCAACGCCCCTTCGCACCCCTTAACCATCGCTAATCTTCCCCTCCTCTCTGCCGCCGAGCAATCCCTACTCGGCTCGAACTCCTCGACCTCGACCGGTAGTCAAGATGGTGAATCGCAAACCAACAAGATGCACAATAACCCGAACGGGATCGGGCCCAATGGAATCTCGGAGACCCACACAGATCCTGCAGAGAACTCTGCCCCGGACCAGACGATGTTCAGAGCCGGTGGTGGAGATGGTCGACTATCCCCACTGGTAATGCATGAGCGGGGCGAGGGTAGCGGTGAATCTGAGGATGGAAATGTGTCTGTATTCGATGATACCGACGACTCCCGACTGACGGCGATCTACCGTCCAGAGTCGTCAGAGTCCTGGAAGGAACAGCTTCGCTTGGCCGGCGAGAAGGAGAAGATCCGGATGAGCAGAAAAGAACAAGAGCGGGAGCCCTCCAAACCCGGTCCTCACATGACTCTGGATAACCATCCTATCAAACCCGACGATGAACTCGCTGGCTTGACTTTACATGATCATCATGATCCTGCCCATCCTAGTACTGGGCCCAATAATTTAGCCTCATCTGCCACTGCCTCCGCTCCTAATCCTGCTGGAGGACCTGCTCCCGACGGGAAGAACTCTTCCACCGCTGGCTCGGTCGTTCAGAAAGGTTTTGATAGTTACAAAGTGTGGAAACCTAAAAGGACACTAAGATCGTAAGCTTTACATTTTATTCAAGAGCTCCGGGTTTTTTTTTCACACAATCGAGTATTTTTGACATGGTCGTGTCTTTTTGGCGGGGATGGGATATCATAGACATCTGGATGCTGCACGATGTATTGCGTTCGATCGGTATGGACTGGCTATTGTCTCTGGAAGCGATGACTGTACGGTGAAATTGTGGCGATTGAATCCGGCCTCGATAGCCAAGTGAGTAAAGAGAGAAATATGCGGTAGACAAACTGAGTGTTCGTGGAGTTGACGAAGGTGAATGCTAGCCCGAGTCCGTCGAGTTGGCCAGAGACGGAGCCGCAGATAACCTATCGAGGACATTCAGCGACGATCACCAGTGTCGCCATTTCCTCATCGCCGCCACGGATCTACTCTGCCTCGTTAGATTCGGTCGTCTCGGTGTGGTCGCTGCCGCCGCCTGAGCACGAGACGTATGCGCCGTACGATCCGCGCTCATTGTTGGCAAGTTTTGTAGGCCACACCGATGCGATCTGGGATATGGTCCTGCTACCGCTTCGGCTCCGTGACGAGGCGCTGTTGGCAACGGTCAGTGCGGACGGGACGGTGAAGGTCTGGAGCACCGACGAACTCAACTCGCCGCTGAAATTGAGCTGGGGATACGACGGCTTGATCGATGAGGATCTTCCTCAGGCTTCGCAACCCACCCCGTCTAACGAACTCACCGTCATCGGTGCTAATGGCTCCCCAGTTAAGGTCACCCCTACTAGCGTCGCAGTCGTTTGGTCTGACCTCAAAAAAGTCGCGGTCTCGTACTCGAATTCGGTCATCAAATTGTTCGAACTCGAGAATGGTAAAGTCTCTCTGAGGTTGAAAAGCGACGAAACCTTTGGTCCGTTTTTGTTTTGTCTTGTTTCTCTCTTCTTTACACAAAAACTTACAATTTTTTTAAATATATAGATGGGACGACGGCTACTCAGATCAATAAGATCGTCACTCATCCTACTCTACCTCTGCTGATCAGTGCACATGAAGATAGATTTATACGACTGTATGATTTGAACACAGGTGAGTGAAAAAAAGGAATCTGATGAGAATAAAAAGAGACAAAAGAGGAGCTGATCAGAAGGGGTGAACAACGATTTCACAGGAGCATGTACGCATTCGATGCTAGGCCATCTAGATTCGGTGACCTCATTATCGATCGACCCGACGGGCCTGATCCTAGTCTCGGGTGGGCACGACTGTTCGATCCGCTTCTGGGACCTGACGGGCTCCCGGACCTGTCTGCAAGAGATCTCGTCGCATCGATACAAGTCCAACCAGGAAGGCGTGCTTGACGTCAAGTTCCATCCTTCCTCTAATCTCTCCTCCTCTTCCTCCCTGCTTCCCACCCATCTTAATCATCCCGGTAACCTCCATTCTGCTGCCGCTGCTGCTTCTTCCTTTAACCCGTTCCATTCGCTTAAGTTCGTTGCTAGCTCCGGCGCTGATGGAACTATTAAAATCTTCGGTTGATCTCTATTTCTTCTCTCTCTCTATCTCAACCATTCCTGTTTTTTACCCTACTTCTTCGTTGTCTCTCTCTCTACTTTTCCTATCTATCTCCCTTCTGATCTTTTATCCTTCTCCTCCTCTCCTTCTTAGATTTCTTTTCTTCTTTTTTTTTCCTCATATCTACTGATGATGATGATGATGTTCACTTCTTCTTTTTTTGTTTCATGATAAACAATAATTTCTCATGTTGGATTTGATTTGATTTCTTATTCTTTTATACATATATATATATATAAAGATGTGTCTCTATTTGTGTCAGGACATATCCATCCATACATCTATATACATCCATACATTTATATGAAATTCATATGCATACGATTTTGTTTTCTTTCACTTGGCCTTCTTTTTTTTTTTTTCTTCTTCTTCTTCTTTTGCAACACAAAAAAAATACTTCATTGGTATTGTGGAGGTTACGTTTTTCGGTGGAAAGAGAATGAAAGAGTATCTTTGTTTTTTTTTCTCATCAGTTGGTCCTATAAAAATAGATGATGATGAAATTATATACACATGCTTTTTAGGTTTTGGTTTTTGGTCATTTTTTGATTTATAGATGTATGTACATATACAAGTTTGTTGAATTTTGTGTTCTTTGTGTCATTTTCCTTTTTGAGTAAATTGATCATCATTATCCAACATAACTTGTGGGAGCTTCATGTTGTACCCTGGGATTGAGTAGTACAATCATCTACTCTTGCAGAAGTATGATTTGAAGGGCAGCAAAGCAGAGGAAGGCTTTTAGAAAAGTTTGATGGAGGGACTTAGGGGTTTTGATTATGTCCCAATTTGATTTGTTAGAGTGTCATGGGGATGTTTGAGCGAGAGATCGGAGCAAGCCGGCTTGGATAGGACACGATCAAACAAGCAGGAGGACTGGCCTAAAGCTCGAGGAAGAAGATCCCAGTGGAAGAACAGCAGCACACCCACCAACACCATGATCCGCCAATCAGCCTTCACCCGGTCTCTCTTCTCCAAGCCCCGTGCAGTCCTGCCGAGTCGCGTGTTCGTCCGAGAAACCGTCGCCGCTCGTCCCGGCCATCAACGGCCCTTCAACACTACTCTCTCCTCCCTCTCCATCTCCTCGTCGTCGTCCGCCAATCCTCCGCTCGACTCTTCCGCCTCTTCTGCTGACCAAACACCCGTCTCGGAAGCCTCGATCTCCGCTAAACTCGCTAGGAAGCTCCCTCAGGCTGTCAAGCTTCGGGTCGAAGACGTCTCAGGTCGGTTCTCTATCCTCTTCTCTCCATTCAGTCTCTGTCGTTTTTTTTTTTTTTTTTTTCTCTCTCTAGGTTGTTTCTTAGAGATGATTAGTCGTACTGATTCTCTCGTCTTGTTCACTTGTTCGCTTTGATGGATGTTGCGCGTTCAATATGGCATACACATATCGCAGGTGGATGCGGCTCGTTCTTTGTCGTCGAAGTCGTCGATCAGACGTTCGAAGGTCTCTCGATGCTCAAGCAACACCAACTCATTAACCGGACACTCGCTGATGACATCGACAGGATCCATGGCCTTCAGGTTCGTCTTCTTGACCCCTCCTCTTCTACTCTAGCCATTCTTCCCATATCACTTTCTTTGTAATCTCCGATCAATTTCATCTGTTGACGGTCATTGTCCTCTCATCCCCCTTCTTCTTTCAAACTACTGCATACCTCGTGATTATGATTGATACTTGGTCTCCCTCGATCGTCTGCACATTCATTACTTTCTTTCTTTTTTTTTCGTTCTTGCGGGGATCGGTTATTTATTTCATGGATGAATAGATCCACA